CAGCCAAATCAACAAAAGGGGTATAGAATAGAAGACCCTTGCATCCCCGATATGTCTACTAGGAGTAGGTTACAAAAATATTGTGTCATTAAACCGGTTAAAACCGGTAACCGAAATTATTTATTTCGTTTTCAATCATGAACGAAAAATAAAAATTTCGTTTTTGTTTCCGTTTTCGTTCTTATAAATTATTCGGTTAATTTCGTTCTTTCGTTCTCGTTTTCGTTCCGTTCTTAGTCCCTGCTTTAAATATTGTGATAATTTTAACATTCTCTTAGTTCACCGAGAGAACATAACCTAGAATTTGTGACAGAGAGATTTCTTGTTGGTGAAAATTTTATCTTAAACCGTTTTGTTTACTTCCAAAAGTATCAATTATTATAATTCAGCTCCTAAAGCACATTTTTCATCCATCTTTTGAGGTTTTAACGTTATTTTGAGGAAGAAATCCTTGATTTAAATTTGAATTTTTCTAACTTTACTCATTGTTGAAATTTGGCGTGTACTCCAATGTATGTCTAAAAACAAGAAAAGACAACGTTGAATACGAAGTTTTATTACGTTTCATAAAGGAATAAGGGAGAAATCAACGAAAAAAGAATTAAATTTTGAAGGTTAATTCCGAGAAAAATCAAGAGATGACGCTAGTTTCGAAGCAAGAATTTTGAATTTTGAAAAGGGCGCGAAGCTAAGAGCCAATCAGAAACGAGGAAAAAACAGTTGGAGTGCCGGGGTATATAAGGAGATCGCGAACAGGGAGTGAAAGAGTCGTCGTCTGACCAGCGTCGAATCCACGTCGTCAGATAGAAGAAATTTTGAATCTCAAGAGATAACCTCAAAAATTTAAGATAATTTTTTAAAGTCAAATCAACTTACGATATTAAAATAAAAAGAGAATCATCCTACAACCTATTCCGAGAACTACTGATACTTCTTCGAGATCATCCAAGACCCTATTTCCGAAGAACAAACAGTTCAATTTCCCGTAAGAAGAATCCTGTAGACAATCCAGAAAATTAGTTAGTGCCCCGAACACAAGAGACAATCCATAATCCAGATACCACATTGAACTCCAATCCTTTCTTTTTCACAGTGAGTCGGATGATAATTTTATTTTATTATTTAACATAACCTACAAAAAGAAAAATCAAAGAATCAAACTCAAAGAACAACTCACAAGAGTTTCCTATAATTTTGATCAATACTTACTTGTGGGTAAAGATTTATTAGTTTTCTTGAATAACGTTCATTTATTTAATTCTATTTTTTTTTAACGAGTTTGATGACAACTTAAGACATCGGCCATTTGTTATTTTCAAAGAACGGTTCTAACGAGTTTTATCCTACTCTCTCTCTCTCAAATAATAAACGGGTTCTCTCTAATATCGATATTTCAGTCGATAACCGCAGTTATCTATTTTATTTAAAAATTTATCTCTCGTAAATAAGCATTGTTATTAAAGTAAATTTAGGAAAACCATTTTTTTTTATTACTCATAAAACGAGTTAATTTGATTTTGTGTTTAATTAAATGAATTTTTTGTCGAACCTGATTAATTTTCTTTTGAACCTGAACTTGCCCGAAACCCTGAGTTTTTAATAAGAGTCTCTTAAAATTAAAGAAACCCAAATTTATAGTTTAATAACTTGTGTAAAAACACACAAGTAAAACACCACAATATCTATAATTATTATTTAAAACTAGTTATTAAAACTAAAATTATTGGTCTTTAATTGTAAACAAGCTTTATCTTTTATAAATATTTTAAAATAATATAGTAATTAGACAAGGGGTTAGAAGGCATGGAAACAAAATATATTAAAGGGTCGAGCTAGAGGTCGAGCGGAGAGTAGAGGATTTCCATTAAAGTCCATCCTAAATAAAATATTGAAACATTTATTAGAGGTACTTGAGGTAGAGGTACTTCAGATAGAGATACATGAGATAGAGGTTCTTGAGATAGAGGTACTTGAGGTAGGGATACTTGGCTAGAGATACTTCAATGACGTGGCGAACCAGTTCGCGTATCGTGTAGATCTAGCTTTATACAAGCATATGTTGTTTCTTCAAAGAAGAAAACCTTTCTGAAGAAGAACGCATCCCTGGAAGAGCTAGAGGTCGAGCTAGAGAGGTAAAGATAAAGATAAATAAATAAACAAACAAAGATAAAAAAATAAGATCAATTTTTAATAATTTCGTCGAAAATAACATGGTCTTCTCAAATTAGTTAATGTTGATCATTTTTAATTAGTTCCTTTAAGTTATTGTTAAATTTAAGGGTGGGATTATTCTTAATTTTTAAAATGTTATGTTCTTTGAAAAAAGTTAATGTCTTTTTTATGTATGACTCTTTATCCAACACAACAAGGCCTGCATTTTTGTCTCCCATGGTAACAATAAGATTTTCTATTTTAATTTTATGTTGACGTTCTTATTCCCACTTGTTTTCCCTCACTCTTTCACCTTTATCATCTGGCGAACGTTCCTTATAACCTTCAGTCCAATTTCACCCCTCAGCAAGCTGATTCAAGTTATTTAATTTTAAAGGAAATTTTAACGTGTTAATTGTAAGTTCAAAAACTTTCTTTCTTTTTTGATTTTTTATATTTAGTTATTATGGTTCTTTCTCTACAGGTTTGGTAATTTGTTTTGTCGTTAATTTTTAACATTTATTTTTAAATACTTTGAAAAACAAGATTTACGATGATTTGAGAAACGCCATTTTAATTTTTTTGATTTTTCAATTTACCCGGGGAGGATTCGTTCGAAAAGGTTCTTTTCAATTTTATATTTCACCCTTCAAGTTTTTTACTTTTGAATTTTTCGTAAACGAAATCTTTTTGAAGAAATTTTCTCCGATGCTTGAAACAATACTCTCTTCACTCTCGATGCTCCTACACCGACGATAATTATATATATTTTTTATCTGTGTTTTTGTTATATCTGAATGTTCCTTTGTTCCCGTGGTCGTGAAGAAGAACGATAATCGTTCGAAATCTTCGAAGATAGCACCGAAATAAAATATTTTATCGTTTATACGACTTTTAATTTTTTTAGCAGCAAGAAACCCTACAACTTACCTGGAAAAACACCAAATCGATAATAGAGGCATCTCCAATAGACCCCGAGATCAAAAAAACCTCTGCCCAAAATGGATTTTCCACCGGATGTCGCAAGTGGTGCGGAGGGTTCATTGACCTGCTCTCCGGAGCCTGACGGTCCATCTCTCAATAAGGCTGCTCCTGATGAGGGACCATTTTCCAAGTGCAGGGCGTCATCTCTCTTGTTGAAGGTACTCTTCTCTATTTCGATGGACTCGCGGATGAGTCTGGTCCTCCAATGTGGAACGTTGGCTATTTCCATATCTGAAGCTGCTGGTTTTCCATATATAATCAAAATAATTTGATATTAAAATAGTATCATTTAAGTGTTTGCCTAACCTATCCTTTGATATGGACTCCCTCCGCTGATAGAATGAGAGCCATTCGGCTTGCGTATACTACATATCAATCCTATTATTCCACGTGGAAAATAACTATGATGCTCTGATCTCAATGAGATTTCGTACTTTCATGGAGGCATTGTCGTTAGCGAGGCTTACAAACCCTCCAGCATGCCTATGAAGTGGGTATATTTGCATCAAGGTTATTTTCCACGTGGAATAATGGATTGATATGTTGTATGCGCAAGCCGAATGACTCTCATTCTGTCAGCGGAAGCAGTCGATATCAAAGGATATAGGTTCGGCAAACACATAAATAATACTATTTTAATATTAAATTATTTTGCACGAATGTTCTATCTATATGTACATATGGTACACTAGCTCAAGATATAGAAGTATTCAATATATTTTCCACGAGGAATAATAATAAAAATTCCATATGTACGTATAAATAGAATATTCATGCAAAATAATTTGATATTAAAATAGTATTATTTAAGTGTTTGCCTAACCTACCATTTAAATGACTCTACGTATCTACCGACTGGAAGTCTGGCCCCCCAATTAGAAAAAAATAATTTTGATTAAATTCGCTATAACTAAAGAACGGTTTTACTGATTTTGATGTTTTATATCTTAAATGAAAGCTTGCATCTGACTGAATAATTATATGTAAAGTATATTGAAGACTTCAATATCTGAAGACGCTAGTTTTCCATATGTACATATACATAGAAAAATCATGCAAAATAATTTGATGCTAAAATAGTATTATTTAAGTGTTTGCCTAACCTACCATTTAAATGACTCCACCTATCTAGCGACTGGAAGTCTGGCCCCCAATTAGAAAAAAATAATTTTGATTAAATTCGCTATAACTAAAGAACGGTTTTACTGATTTTGATGTTTTATATATCTTAAATGAAAGCTTGCATCTGACTGAATAATTATATGTAAAGTATATTGAAGACTTCAATATCTGAAGATGCTAGTTTTCCATATGTACATATACATAGAAAAATCATGCAAAATAATTTGATATTAAAATAGTATTATTTAAGTGTTTGCCTAACCTATCCTTTGATATGGACTCCCTCCGCTGATAGAATGAGAGCCATTCGGCTTGCGCATACTACATATCAATCCTATTATTCCACGTGGAAAATATCTATGATGCTCTGATCTCAATGAGATTTCGTACTTTCATGGAGGCATTGTCGTTAGCGAGGCTTACAAACCCTCCAGCATGCCTATGAAGTGGGTATATTTGCATCAAGGTTATTTTCCACGTGGAATAAGTGGATTGATATGTTGTATGCGCAAGCCGAATGACTCTCATTCTGTCAGCGGAAGCAGTCGATATCAAAGGATATAGGTTCGGCAAACACAAATAATACTATTTTAATATTAAATTATTTTGCACGAATGTTCTATCTATATGTACATATGGTACACTAGCTCAAGATATAGAAGTATACAATATATTTTCCACGAGGAATAATAATAAAAATTCCATATGTACGTATAAATAGAATATTCGTGGAAAATAATTTGATGTTAAAATAGTATTATTTAAGTGTTTTCCTAACCTACCATTTAAATGACTCCACGTATCTACCGACTGAAAGTCGGGCCCCCAATTAGAAAAAAAATTTGATTAAATTCGCTATAACTAAAGAACGGTTTTACTGATTTTGATGTTTTATATCTTAAATGAAAGCTTGCATCTGACTGAATAATTATATGTAAAGNTGAAAGTCGGGCCCCCAATTAGAAAAAAAATTTGATTAAATTCGCTATAACTAAAGAACGGTTTTACTGATTTTGATGTTTTATATCTTAAATGAAAGCTTGCATCTGACTGAATAATTATATGTAAAGTATATTGAAGACTTCAATATCTGAAGATGCTAGTTTCCCATATGTAAATATACATAGAAAAATCATGCAAAATAATTTGATATTAAAATAGTATCATTTAAGTGTTTGCCTAACCTATCCTTTGATATGGACTCCCTCCGCTGATAGAATGAGAGTCATTCGGCTTGCGCATACTACACATCAATCCTATTATTCCACGTGGAAAATAACTATGATGCTCTGATCTCAATGAGATTTCGTACTTTCATGGAGGCATTGTCGTTAGCGAGGCTTACAAACCCTCCAGCATGCCTATGAAGTGGGTATATTTGCATCAAGGTTATTTTCCACGTGGAATAAGTGGATTGTTGTGTTGTATGCGCAAGCCGAATGACTCTCATTCTGTCAGCGGAAGGAGTCGATATCAAAGGATAGGTTCGGCAAACACTTAAATAATACTATTTTAATATTAAATTATTTTGCACGAATGTTCTATTTATATGTATATATGGTACACTAGCTCAAGATATAGAAGTATTCAATATATTTTCCACGAGGAATAATAATAAAAATTTCATATGTACGTATAAATAGAATATTAATTTGTGCAAAATAATTTGATGTTAAAATAGTATTATTTAAGTGTTTACCTAACCTATCATTTAAATGACTCCACCTATCTAGCGACTGGAAGGCTGGCCCCCAATTAGAAAAAAATAATTTTGATTAAATTCGCTATAACTAAAGAACGGTTTTACTGATTTTGATGTTTTATATATCTTAAATGAAAGCTTGCATCTGACTAAATAATTATATGTAAAGTATATTGAAGACTTCAATATCTGAAGATGCTAGTTTCCCATATGTACATATACATAGAAAAATCATGCAAAATTATTTGATATTAAAATAGTATCATTTAAGTGTTTGCCTAACCTATCCTTTGGTATGGACTCCCTCCGCTGATAGAATGAGAGCCATTCGGCTTGCGCATACTACATATCAATCCTATTATTCCACGTGAAAAATAACTATGATGCTCTGATCTCAATGAGATTTCGTACTTTCATGGAGGCATTGTCGTTAGCGAGGCTTACAAACCCTCCAGCATGCCTATGAAGTGGGTATATTTGCATCAAGGTTATTTTCCACGTGGAATAAGTGGATTGTTGTGTTGTATGCGCAAGCCGAATGACTCTCATTCTGTCAGCGGAAGCAGTCGATATCAAAGGATATAGGTTCGGCAAACACAAATAATACTATTTTAATATTAAATTATTTTGCACGAATGTTCTATTTATATGTATATATGGTACACTAGCTCAAGATATAGAAGTATTCAATATATTTTCCACGAGGAATAAGGATTAATATGTGGTATGCACTAATAATAATAATATTTTATTTCTCCATTTTACAAAAAAGCGTAGAGTGCGTCAATTTAACAATAATTACGTTGTAATATAATACAAATTGAATTCAAACATTAAATTTTGGATTTTCTTCATATTTTTTTCTTTAAACATGATTCTTCTCTCGTTTGTGCCCATAGTTTAAGCTAGATTTACGCTAAGTTTTCTTTATTTATCCTTGTTTTCCTCACCATTACCGTATAAAGAATTTTTTATTTTTATTTTAGTACCTAAATTAGTTTGTGTAAGTAGTCGTTTTTAGAGTATATACGATAAGATAATTTATAATAATTAGTATTGTAGAGTCTATGTTCGAATATATGCCTTTAATATTGTATCTTCATTTTTCTTTAATTTATTTAAATAGATTATATTTATTTATTTCTTTCATGATTTGTTTCAATAGTTGATCCCACGGTTATGCACAGAGGCTCTAGCCAGACCCTATTTCAGTAAAAATAGACAACAATTTAACGCTTAGTAACAATTAAAACTAGAACTAACACTGACCTAGAACTAGAAATATTCGGGTTTAGCCGTGCGTCTTCAGACTTTTCTAAGTTCTTGTCTAAGACGCCCGGCTAAACCTAAAACTTTCTAGTTCTAGGTCTAGTGTTAGTTCTAGTTTTAATTATTATTTAACCCTAAATTCTTGTACATTTTAATTGATCTAAAAATTTTTTTTTTTTGATTTGATCCACTTACCTTGCTTATAATTTCATCCATTTACCCATTTTGAATTAAATATAACTTTTAAATCCAATTGATTATGTGTTTTTCATTAAGAAAAACTTAAATTGAATGTCAATTTTAACAAGCAACTGCAATATTTGGATCTTAATCACCATGGTAACCGAGTCAAGCTGGATAACCTTAAAATAATAAAATTTTAATTCAATTTTTTTATCAATTCTAACCTAATTTTTATTAATTTTAAAACATTTCGAATTCTTTACAATTATCTCGCATTCATAATAAATTCGTTAATTGTAATTAATTTAAATCGATTCTAATTAAGAGTAATAAATTAAAAATACCTTTTTTTTATTTAATCCACTTATTTTGTGTATAATTCCCTAGATAAATCAATTTTGAGTTAAATACAGCCTTTTAAACCAATTAAATAAGATTTTTCCTTAAAAAAACTTAAATTCAATTTTGACAAGCACCTGCAATATTTTGATCTTAATCACCATGGTAACCGAGTCAAGTTGGATAACCTATCAATAATAAAATTATAAGCGTTAATATTTCGCTTTATATTTTAATATTTATTTTATTTTATATCTTTTTTTTAATTTTTTGTATACTGTTGTGAAATATGCTGCAAAACCTTTGCAGGGGGATACGTTCATAACAACAGCGTTCATATGGAGTTGGATAACCTTATACAGAATGTTTACTCAACGCACCTTGAATCGTAGTTTTTAAAAGTATATGCAACACTTATAGCACGAATCCAATTTCAATCCGTTAATTATTAAATATAATTAATTTATTAAAATCTGTTAACAACGATAATACGTAATTTTTTTTCAATATCGATAATGTTGCAATCTAATCTACAGAAAACTACTTACCAACTACGTATGGGTTTCATCATAAAATCATGTAAATTTCTGTAAATACCCTTCCTCTATTTATGTGTATTTTACTATTGTTCGTCCATTATACATTTATTCTGTGGTTAATCACAAATTGATAAACCTGTGGTAGTTTTTATTATTTATTTAATAATAATAAAAAGTAAGTAGATTTCTTTTCATATTTATCATAACGAATTATACCAAATTGTATTTTAGTGTCTTATTCATCTGCTCGATCTGCTCCTCAGCTGGCTCAACAAAAGCCAAATACAAACAAGATTGCAGTTAGAAGTGATGGGATTGCAAGGCCAACAACATGTAAAGAAATCATATTTGATATTTTTGTCATAATTAACCATTATTTTACTAATTTGAAGGTTATAGAAATCAAACTTATTCAACTAATGGACATGTCTTAGGTGGAGGAGAAGGATATGCATCACCAGGAGGTAATCTAACCAAGTTAACTTTTATATAATTCTTGCTGGAAATATCTTATTAAGAAAAATAACTAAGTTCAAAATACCTCTGAACATCACTCACTCCTACATACTCTTGCAACTTAGGCAATATTTAAGATAAAAAAGTACCATGTTGATAACAATTCGTTTATTAAGTATATATTTTAATGATTTTTGTTGAAAACAGGCGTCCAAAATCGAACTGAAAGGTTACAAGCTCAATTTGAAACTGATTTAAAAATTTTTAAAGAAAAGCAAGCATTGGTAATAAATCTTTATTTTTGAATTTATTATATTCAGATTTATTACACTTTTTTACTTTGTTATTATAGAAAGAAGCAAAGAAACGCGAAGAGTTTTTGAAAAAAACTGCCAAATATGCTGGAAATGTTTTGGGAAGAGGAGAAGGTTCTAACAATAATAATGATAACACATTCATGTTAGAACAGCGTAACTTACGATTACAAGAAAGTTACCAGAAGGATGTTGATAAATTTAAAGAATCCAAAGAGAAGGTATTAATCTTAATGATTATAAGATAAAATTTTTATGGTTTATTCTTGTTTTTGTAGAAAAACATTTGTGGAGAAGATAAAATCATGAAGGAAAATGAAAATTTAACCAATAATTTGAATCAGGTCTTAACAGAAGCTGATCATAAAAAAGGTAAGATGTTTTATTGATTCCTTTTTTATATTTTTATTTTCTGTTTTAATAGCTTTAAGGTTGCGTACTGAAAGATTACAAGCTCAGTATAACAGGGATGTTAACGCATTCAAGGCTAAACAGGAAATGGGAAAAAAATGAACTGCAACAAATTTTCTAATTTTAAGAGTTATTATTGTATTAAATCTTTGTAATAGTTTGTTAATGGGTTTTCTAATGTATTTTCAAAAATATATTTGCACTTAATGTTAATGATTTTTTTTATTTATGAAACTGAATATTAAATTATACTTTGGTACATATCTATGTTATACTCGCGACAAATAACTTTTTTGCATTTATTAATGATATTATCGCGCAAATATCTCATCAAACTAGGAGTACTAATCGCTTTCGTTTTTATGCTAAGATATTCCATAACATTTTTGTGACTTTGATACTAACATTGTTGGACATTAATGCAAGCAATGTTTATCATTCCATAAGACATCTATTCGTCTTCCTAGTACAGGATATCAGAGAACACATTTGGTCTAGCATTGATAGTAGCATCTTTATCACAAGATGATAATAAGTAAACCATTTTAGTCGGCTTCAGTTTATAAGAGACTGGTGTAAGGGTCCATCAAAGCAAAACATTGCTGTTCCTACTGGCTTAGAGCGACTGTTTTTCAGTTCTTTGGGTATTTCGCGTCAATACTCAATTTATAAGGTTCTTGAATTGAACTTGTTGCCAAAGAAATTAAGGTAAACCCAATTGTTGCATGTATATTGCAACAATCATCCTTCACATAACATTTTTTGAGTTGATTTAGAAAGTTTCTTTGCTGAAAAGACAACAATCGAAATACAACTTTTTTTGGAACTCATGATGATGGGACAAATAAAGTCCAATTGTATTTGTGAAATGAAAGGGTACACAAATGAGGATTGCAATTAATTTAATAAGCTTAAATATAATTAAGCTTAAACTGATACAATTAAACTTGGTTGTGCAAACCAGTCTATAATAAATTAACATTGTATTAAGTTAACATTTTATTTAGCACTAAATAAATTATTAAGAATTCAAAACCAGTATATTACATTTTATATTAAATATTTATAATAAGATGTAGTATTGAACTAATTAATATATTATAATCAAGTTCTTTTTATACAAAAATATGTTAAAGATAACTTTATCTCCCACATCCACCTCCACCACAAGGACTTTTCCGAACTGGTTTATAAGATCTTGTATTATCTCCCATTAAAGGATTATAACCTAAAACTATCCAAATAAGTTTAATTTAAATACACAATTTTTATAAATTAATTTCTTACCATGCCCCACATTCAATTTTTGTTTTCCTGTTCCATTTAAAATTTGTTCACGTTTCATAGCTTCTTTCTTTTCTTGTTTCTTCTTAAATTCTTCAGCATCTTTATCATGTTGTGCTTGAAGCCGTTCTGTTCGAAGTTGTTGTGCTGTTAATTGTTGCACTAATAAGTCAGGATCTAATTAAATAAAAAAATTTTATTATTAAATAGAAAATAACGTAAAGTAAATCCTACTTTTATGGTATTTTGCAGCGTATTCGTCTTCAGCGCGTTTTTCTAGGAATTTTTGAATAGAAGGTTGCAATTTAGTCCAAATGTAGGCGATGATTATAACGCCCACTAATATGAACCAGCCGTAATTTTGAAGTATTTCAGTAAATCCTATAATAAGTAATAAGAATAATATAAGGAATTAAAATAGTATTTTATTTGTTAACACGTACCAAATTCCATGATAATGATAAATAATAACTTTCTAATGTGTCAAATAATGTTTTTGACAGCTGTTTTTACCAATGATACCAACTAAAAATAATAATAAATTTCACCCATGAAAAACATTAAATGGAACCCTATAAAAGTATCAATGTTTAATTTTATTTAATGATTAAATCTTTTTTGCTGTTTGTGAATTTATGTAAGTGTAGTATTATTTAAATTTCTAATTCAATTCAAATTAAGTTGACAAGACTGACCCCGCTGGGTTCAGTGGCGTGCGTTAATTTTTGCATTTTAATTTATTTATTACGCATTTTATTGTATTAATTCAATAAAATTAAACTACATAATTCTTAATAAGGAACATTTACTTTGTTTAAAAATAAAAATTTAGAAAAAAAAAGTTTAATATAAACGCTACGAATTAAGTAAACATTTGAAAGTTCTTCGACGTTGTTGACACAGACTTAACCCGTCCAACGCCCCAGATTTTCCGAAGACAATTCTGACTCATTTCCGAGTATAATTCCCGATATTTTAACTAGTGATGATTTCATTTTAAAGAAGCTGTGTGAAAATTAATAAATTGGTTTAATTAGTGAGACAAAATGTTTGGTTATGTGTATACGATTTTGTTAATATCTTCAGTTTGTAAGTAATAAAGTTGTAAACTAAATTTTTTAACTAATATATAATCTTCCTTAGTTATTAGTTGTAGTGGAGAATGTGTAATTCCAGAAATATTACGAGGAAGTTGGTTTTCATGGGAAAGTAGAAATGTTATAACAGAACTTGATTCAAATTCATTAAACAACGGCCAAGGTTATTGCGAATTTATAAAAAACGATTTTAATCAAAATTATACAATAGTATTTAAACAAGGGTCATGTTATTCATGCATGAAGTTTCTTGTAAGAACAGTGAATATTTTGGAAAAAATTCAAAGTAAGTTTAAAAATAAGGAAAGAGTTTTATTCGATAAAAATTAATTAAACTTTTAGCTGCATGCAGTACAGTTCCAGACCATTTAGTTTCCCTTGATTACATCTGCAAAGATCTTAGGGAAAATCAACAATTTATTACATTATTTTTGGACCATTACGCCCCTGTAAATTGTCGATCATCCTTTGAAGGACTCTATAATTTTGGTTATCAAAATACTTTTAAATTTACCGGTGAATGCCGACACCCAGATGCTTTAATAAAATCATGTCAAACACCTGGATCACAATTTTTAATTGCAAATCAAAAGTTTAACATTACTTATCGACAGTGCAAAGGAATGACTGGAACTTTCGATGGGGGTTAGATTTAGAATCAATAATAAAACCTAAAAGAATCATTTTTATTTCTTTATTATTTTTAGTTGTTGAGTACGCATGTTTAGGAGATTGGATTGTTGGTAAAAATCATTATTTCGCCGTTGCAAATACCAAAGAATCGCGTCAAGATGAAAAATACCGCTGTTTCTTAAAAAATCGCGATGACGATTTGTACCTGGGTGTTTCAATTACAGCTGAATGTAATACACTAAAAACTGTTGAAAAAAGCCCTGAAAGATTGCGTGTAACTCCAGGTAAAAACCGTATTTATCAACAAAATATATTTTGAAATAATTTTATTATAGTTAAATCTGAAATTGTTTATCCCGGTTGTGAATTTCCATCAAATTTTACTGGTGAATGGATAAATACTGCAAATATAGACGCAGATGTAGTTATTAATAAAACTCATATTATTGAAACTTCATACCCTGATGAAGGAAGATTTAGAAGAACAATTTATATTTGCCAACAAAGGCGAGATACGCGCGTGATGATGGCAAGATTAACTGTGGAAGGTTGGTAAGTATAAAAATTGAATTTGAGTTATAAAAATGAGTCTTAAATGATTTCTTTTTAGTCAAAAAGATTTTGTTTGTTTTGATTTTTTGCCCAGACATCATAATGTTATAAGATATCGCAAAGGAATTCCAGTTATTATACAAGATTTTTCGACAGTGTGTTCTTGGGTTCAATTTAAAAACAAGATAAGATGGAATTATAGTTTGTTTTTAGCAAAATATCCAGTTGCTGTTCGATGTCCTATTGCTGGAAAGTTTAATTTTACACAGAAAGGTGAAGCTCCTTTTGAAACAAGGTAAAAAATTAAGTTGTACATTAAGTCCTTGATATTTTATTACTTTTTATTTATAGGATAATGGGTGGTGTAACAAAAAGTCCAAGACCAACAACTTATTGCAAACAAAACATATCAGATTTTTCAGTTTGCGATTCTGAACAAAAAACCATTGCAATTGATGAAAATTATTGTTTATCTGTTGATTATTTAGGACGACCTACAGACATTTACAGTAATACAACTTACATATTTTGTTCCATAAAATAATATTTTTTTTTTAGGCGATCCTGATTATACAATGAAATGTATTGGTTTTTGGAAAGAAAATTTAAAATCTTACTTAATAACTTATGATGAATTGGATCCTTTCTCAAAATATAGATGTTGGGTTTATCAAAGAGCCGATTTGAATCGTGTTTTAATGTCACAAGGTTTGTAAAAAAATTCTTTGTTATTGTTTTTTTAATAACATTGCCCAACACAATTTTTTTTTCTCATACACCATTACGTGTTGTTTATGTCGTTTTTCATGTTGAATTTGAAAGTAATTTTAAATTTGCTCCATCACGTCAGTTGCTTTTTCAAAAGTATGTTAAATTTTACAGAATTTTGAAGCGACTTTTATATAAGAAAGATACTTCAAGATATATTGTACTGCCCAGCATTGAGTGGACATGTCTGAACATGTTCTGGCCTGTTTCCTATGTCACAATACTTATACCACTCATTTGTGCTCAGGAATTTGTAGATTTATAAGGAGCTGAGATGGAGAATTCTTGGGGGAAAACAAAATAGAATCTCGATTTTGAGAATTTTCTGAGAACAAGTTTTTAGACACAAATATAGCTTGGCAAATTTACAACTGTAGACTTGTTACAGTAGCCATATTGTATATTAACTCTGTTTCTTGTATTTGTTCTCCTCTATTAAGATAAATTCCATTAAAATTTAGATCTAGAATATTTGCAGCAAAATGAATTGGATTATTGCCATTTGCTTTCTCTTAAGTAAAAAGTTTTTTACTTCCCTTACCTCTTGGTTAAGCAAAGGGATTGAGGATGTTTCAAAATGACTTTCCAACGCATAAAAGCATTCAGCAATTTGGCTTAACCGTGCTTTATCTCCTTCCAGTTGGGTTATGTATTTAACAATAAGATATAATAGGGTGATAAAAATTTGAAACTTTTACCAGAAAAATATTTTGATCCAATATCAACTTTGCAACTCGTTTACTGAGTATATCTTCAACTATTTCACAAACTGCTAATGTTTTAATGCATATTTTGTTTCAAGAAGACTTTTTAAACTATGAATAATTTCAGGAATCATCATATGGCTTAAAAATCGACGATTTTTTTTAATCAATGTGAAATGACAAAAAAAACACGTTAAAAATAAAAAGAAAGTGCCGAAACACTAGATTAATTTCAGTTATAAAACTTCTATTATATGATAACTAACTTCAGGTTTAAAATGTCAACCTCAATTTTGACATATTTGTAATCTTCATTAAAAATCCTTTAAAATGAGTACAAACACGACATATTTATCTTCAATATTAATGAAGTTATGGTCAACTTCTGGTTAAGAATGTCAATGTCATTTTGACATATTCTTAATTTTTATAAAATGTCTTAATATTTGTCACAAAAACAAAAAAATAATAAAAAAAAATCAAAAATTAAGGTTGGTATTAATTTTTTATTCAATTTTTTTTGTTTTTTGAGATAAGTGCGGCATGTTTGGACTCATTTTAAAGGTTTTTTAATGAAGATGACAAATATGTCAAAATTGATGTGACGTTTCAAACCGGAAGTGATTGTATCTCCATTAATATCAAAGTTAAATATGTCGAGTTTGGACTCATTTTAAATGATTTTTTATGAAGTTGACAAATATGTCAAAATTAATAGTTGAAATTTCGAACTTTTTTGTTTTTTTGAGAGAAATGCGTCATGTTTGGACTCACTTTAAAAGCTTTTGTCTACGACTACCTTATAATATATACCTTATGAATGAGTTTTCTAAAACAAAAGGTTAGTCATTTTTCACGGAGTGAATAATAGCGGTGAATAATAATCATTATTCACGGGTAATCAACTTGACAGACAAATAATAATTATTTAAAACGTCAATTTAATTCAATTTTTTAGGAGTTTCTAAAGGTTTGACATTAAAAAAACCGAAACAAATTCCTTTTTTCGTATGATTTAAGCATAAATTAATTAATTTTCGTAAATAAAAACGTTTTATAAAATTGACATTTAATTTTGACAAATTGTTGTGAAGTTGGTTACAGTTGGTAACATTGAATTTGTGTCACATTGACGTTTAAACTGTATTCAAAAATTTATTTAAAACAAATTTATGGAATCAATTTCAATAGTCGTGGACAAAGTACGATATTTGCCATCTCAAGAGGACGAACCTCATTTAGTAAATCAGTCAGAATTAAATGACCGATTAATTCGAGATCTCAATTTGTCAAAATCTCAAACAGAAATACTAGGATCTAGACTTCAAGGATGGAAGCTGTGTATCGTAATCGCCAGAAACAACTGTTACAATATTTTTCAACCAAAAAAGGTCTATCATTCTGCAATAATGTCGATGACTTACTTTTCTTCTCGACAAAATTAATTACAAAGGCTACAAATGGCATATCAGCGCTGATCTCAAAGTTGTACCAATTCTATTTGGTTTACAGCTGGGGGGTTTACACAAAGCACTGCTGTTTCCTTTGCGAGTGGGACAGTTGATCGAGAAATTTCCACTACGTTGTTAAAAATTGATCAGTCAGGATTCAATATATTCCTGGACAAAAGAATATACTTCATAAGGCATTAGTGCAACCTAATGAAATATTTCTACCCCCATTGCACATAAAATTAGGTTTGATGAAGAATTTCGTCAAAGCAATGGATAAGAATGGTCGTGGATTCCAATATCTTCAAATGTAAAACTTAAGAGGGAATTTTTTTAGGACCCTAAATTAAACGTCTACAACAAGACGCACAATTTGAAAAGATTTTAAATGATTTGGAACGCGGTGCTTGGAATGCTTTTAAGAGTGTGACCCAAAATTTTCTTGGAAACACAAAATCTGACAATTACATAGCAATTGTTAATGAACTTCTTAGAAGTTATCACGAATTGTTATCATTTTTTACACTCGCATCTGGATTTCTTGCGTATCTCACTGATGAACGCAGAAATGTCTTGCTGAAATGTCACCATGATTTCGTCAAGACATTTCTGTTATTGAAAAATGTTATTAGGGCAACTGGAACAGTGAAATGTTGGCTGATTATTGTTGGACATTGATATCAGAAAGTACAGAAGAACAGCATAAATGAAAAACATTTTAAGACAGCACAATAGCATAGAATAAATATGTTTTTATTGTTATTATTACGACTATAAAAGAAAGTAATCCTACATAGTTACTAAAGAAATATTTAAAAAATGTAAATTAGTTGTCTAGTGTAATTATTACTTTTTAGGTATTGGTCCATATTGCGACTTAAACCAAGAAGTTCAATCATTTAATAATTCCGAAGGGGCAGCTGTTGCTTTAGATATGCACGAATACGAAAGAGAACGTAAGTTTTTTTTTTAAGTTTTACTTCATTTTACAACTCAATATATCAATAGGTGATCAATGTCCATTACATTTCGATGATGGTTCAGATCCATGGAGCGATACTGAGTCAACAAAAATGGTTGTATTTAAGTTTTTACGATCAAATTCAATCCAATTCAAACCGCTTGTTCTTATTTATCCGTGTTCAATTCTCTTAACCTTATTAAGAACGTAATTTAAATTTTTAAACTTAGTTTTAATTGTTTACATGGAGACTGTAATTAATACATAAACTCGATTATTTTAAAATATTTTATAAACAGTTATCGTATTGGACTTGTAAATAACAAAGATGATTAATGTGAAATGGAACAAATCCGTCCCTTTAAGTATATTTTATATCTTTAAATTTAAGAATCTCTTTTTTAAGTATTTTTTTTGACAAATCACTAAAATTAATGAGGTTGTATAACATTCCATTATAATTACGTTTATATTGAAATAAAAAATGGAAAAAAATTATTTTTTATTAAAAATTCCATTTAGTCATAAAATTTTATTTTTCAACAGCACAAAATAAAACATTAAAGCTATAAGTTAAGTTATTAAAACATTTATTTATTTGATTGAGGATACTCGTAAAGTGGTGTAACCTCAGCATCTAACGCATCTTGTCTGGATAATTGCGAATTTGCGCTACAAACGCTTAAACTGCTTCCTGCTTTACTTTTCGTTTCGAATACAAACGTTGATAAATCCGCACATTCCGACATCGTTCTCATCCTAGTTTTAGGTTTTTGGGGAGAACTAATACTGTTTGAATCAGTGACTAAACTTCCGCTGCTGTAACGTAAATCGTCAGGTGTGATGCTTTGTACGGAAAGTAACGATAATCGAATACTATTTGAAGTTTTCGTTGAGGATGACACTAAAGGCGTGCTTTCGTTATCACTGGGATCTTCGTTTAATTCCGGGTTTGAATGTAAAACTTTTTCTTTTAATTTATGTAGCTTTTCGAAACTGTTTACTTTCTTTTGTGGTGTATCGATCGATTTTGATCTGGATCTTAATTTTTCACGATTCGTTTTTAAATGTAACGATGTTGGCCGAGCTCTAGTATTTCCTTTTGTTTGCTTCGTATTTGTGTTATAAAGAAGAGTTGTTTTTAATTTACCTGAATCACCGCCTTCGATGAGAATGTGTTTTGGTTTGTTTTCAATGTTGTTTGGTTTTATTTTTGATAATTTTATGTTATTAGATGGTCGATTATCTAAAACTGTATGTAAAAATTTTATTATGTTATTTATCCTTAGAGTTAATAGGGATAATTTAAAAAATAACATTGTCAATACTACCAACTTAAATCTAACTAACAAAAATCTTTTTTGTTGAACTTATTTTTTAAATAAAATTTTGATTTATTAATTACCTGGTGAATATTGTGGGCTATTACTTTGGGAGTTGGTGTCGCTTAAATTTTCAGTATTTCCCTGTACAGATACGCCTACAGGTTGCCAGGAAATTGGTCCTGATGGGGATGGTTGCAGGATAATAAAGTCAGCTTCTCCAACACCACTTGTACTGTTTTGTCGGGACTTTGGCGGTTTTATTACATCTAAAAAAATAAAATACTTACGTTGTAGGGATATTTTAATTTATAGAATGGTGGAAAATATCGGTTATATCTTATTTTTTTAGATTTGATTGATAATGTATACTTGAAATGTTTGACGTGATTTTTCAACATCTTTTTAAGGGTCCAGGAGAGATTAGATTTATAAACTCTAAATCTAGCAAACATGTAAGTACTTTTTATTATTTATTAATTTAAAGTTTATTTTTCAATTTTTACCTGTCAAAGTCAGGTTCAGTCAAAATTTATGTCCACTTTGACAGGAAGACAAAACTCTTCTAAAATGATTATTCAAGCAATCTAATAAACTATTTTAATAACACACAGCTACTAATGTTCTGTATTATACACATCCAAAAGAACTTTAAGTTATTGAGTGCAAATTTTGATAATATTGGAAATCAGTTACTGAATTCACACAAAAATAAATGAAAAGTGACGAAATAAACTAAAAATAAACCATAATTTATAATAATACTTTATTATTTATAACAGAAAATACATAAATGAGAAAAAAAAAATGAATATTTGAACAAAAACGTGAATTCAATATCTGAAATATAAATAAATAACTTAATCTTTTTGTAGTATAGGAACGTTAAAGAATTGTTCTAATTTATAAACTAAATCTATTTATTAAGAACTCTCCGGTTTGTACTCTGAAGAAACTGAGGCGCCAACTGAGACGGTGCTCTGATTGCTTAGATTACTATTGCTGATGATTAATTGAGGTTCTAAAATCATAATAGTGGGTTCAACATGCTGTTTGGATTCTTTGTATGTAACTTTCTTCGATTTTGAGTTATCTTTATTCTTTGAATTGACCGTTTGGTCTTGGGTACTCAATAAAGATTCACCTTGGTTTACTTCAGGACTTGGCGGAACAACAAATGTTATTGGGATATCCGGATCTGGTTCGTGTGAATCTACAACTTCATCTAAAATGTCTTCACATGCTTCTTCATTAAGTGTTTGTAATGCCCCACAAATCATTTGATCTTCTAAAGTTACCTAGATAAAAAATAAGATTAATTTTATTATACCGAGATCTAAATATCTCATTAAAATAATTATTTGTTTACCTGATACTAAATAATAGCAGCGTGAATCAAATAAATTTATAAATAAATTATGTTACAAAAAATATTTTACCTGTTTTTCAATAACACTTTGTTTATTGCGATTCCCCGAATCACCTTGTACTTTAGAACTATCAGTTTCGTTGGTTGTTTGTTTAAATCCGCCACTTCCGCTTCCTCTCCTTTCTTTAGGTATTAACGTTGCTGTGGGTTTTGAAGGATATCTCGAGTTCCTCATTTCGTCTTGCACCAAAACTGAAGTCATCTCGTGTTCCCTCAACGAAACTATCAATACTTTAAACATTTCCCAATCCCCGAAATTCATCCGTAACAATTTCTTCAACTCGTCCAAATCGCAATGCAACAAAACTTTTCCGTTGATATTATTTTCTTTTAGGACTGCTTTATATTCGTCTACCGCGTTTATTGATAAATCTTCCATTTTGTCGAGTAATTTACAAACCCCATCAACGTTTAACGAGGATAATTTAACATCCAAAACATTAGGCTAAATAATTTTGTGTTGAAATCTTTTATTCATGAAAATTATTAACTTAACTTACTGCAAGTAATGAAACCGGCGCAATTGATGCGTGATATGCAGTTGGATTAGGCGCTAATGGTAAATCCCCCCATGGTTGGTGCCAGGGTAAAACCCCAGCAGTTTGAGGAAAAACAACAGCCGTCGGACCGGATGTAGGTCGAACGAATGATCGCGTTCGCCGATTTACAGGCGGCCTACCGATATGCCAATCGGGAGTTTGTTGGGGCCATTGATTTTGTAGGGATTGAGGCCTTGATGAAGGGCCGAACAACAGTCCAGATTCTTCAAGATTTTGAGTTTCTTCTATAAAAACTTTTTTAAGAAATTTTTTTTAAGCAGTGTTTAATGAATTACCTTTGATTACTTTTTTTAAGTAGGGATCTAAATTAATTGTGAATGGTAGAAAAATTTTTAAATCACTCACTAAAAGGCTCGATTTATGGAAACTTAGGAAGATGTCTAATTTGTGTTCGTCTCGATCTAAATCTAATAGATCGCTATCTTTTAAATTTGGTATATGAACACGTACTCTAAAAATAAGTTATTAAAAATGATTAATATTAGCGAAGGAATTGTTTCCCCCGATTTACACGGCGCTTGTTTTACACGATTCCGCTTCTTATACGTCTATACAAAGATTTGATGGCATTGATTTCTGATCATACCTATCAGAAAGGAAAGATTGATACTTCATGAGTGATTAAACTACACCTTCTATGTAAATTGGGGGATAAGCGTGTGTAAATAGATGATTGTAGTCGGTTAATTAAGATGATAATAAACTTACTTATCATATAATGATTTTAACGATGTATTATCATCTAAATTTTCTTCAGTTAAATCGTAATGATAAATAATCCAAGAAGTCCTAAACGGCCATTGTTCAGTAATATTAATCCAAGATGCTAATCTATACCAATTAAAATCGATTTGGAACGCTTTTAAAAGTCTCCCAGTAATATAAACGACGTTCATTAAACGTCTCATCGATTTTGGGTTAACATCGCTGAAGTAATCATCAGTTAAAAGCATTTTTGTTAAATCCATCGCCCCTCCGATTTTATTTAAGTTTAAATTCGAACCAATCGAACTCGCGACGGAATCAGAAACTTTTAATTTTCTCGATCCTTTCCTTGCGTTGTATTTTAATTTCTCTGTACTCGACATTAATGCGTTTTCAGACGATAACCTTCTAGATGATAACTAAAACGATTTAAATTTCAATTATTATTTTTTGAGTTAATTTTTAAGATTAATAAACGTTACCGATCGGCTAGGAACACTTAATCCTTCTTCATTTGAAGCTGAGGCTAAAACTTTTTTATGTGCATTAGCTGTTTGTTGAGCGACCTTAACTTTACGAAGCCCCGAATTTTGTAAATAAAACGGAAGATGAACCATATTACTCAAATAACTATGACCACCGATGTTACTTTCGTTGAAAAGACGTCTGGTGTTCATTTCAACAGCCTAAACAAAATCGAATATTACTTAAAATCAAAACAACGTAAAATAATAATTTATTTTAAATAAAAATTAAAAGTTAAAAAAGGGGAGGACAAAGTAGACGATAAAATTTTTGTGTAACACAACATCGATAAACTGACCTGTCTCCCAGCGACCTTGGAAAAGAGACGCAAAATCGGGAAAAAAATTATAGCCAAATTTTAAATTAAATATAAATTTGAAAGGAATATTTTTTTATATTTTATTTTAATAATAACAAAATTCATACAAACCTTCGCTATAACATGCGGATCGATGGCCAAAATCACAATAAACGGGCTATTTGGGTCGGAAAATAACATATGGATTGCGTCTAAGACCAACAAAACTTTATCTTGTTCGCAACTATCCAAACCATCGACAATTACAACTAATCGAGTTTGTTGAGCTTGCAAACTATCCATACATTTTACCATTTCAATCATTAAATTTACCTTAAAACAAAAAAAATTAATGTAATAAAAATCTTAGCATCTTCCTTCAGATAGAGTAGTAAGGTTGATATTTTGGAATCTAAGGGGTGTTCAACAAAGTTTGATAGGATTGGACTGGTGGAGACATGGGTAGATAAAACAGGGTGGGATAGAATTAAACAAGGATTACCAGAAGGTTATAAATGAGATTATCAGCGTGCAGAGAAGATAAGAAACAGGAAAGGGCGAGTGCTGGAATCATAACAGGGGTCGAGATGGCGTTATTGATAGAGCTAGAAGTAAATAGGGATGGGTATAAAGAAAAAAAATTGAATCCATGACTCAGGTGGTAAAAGCAAGTATCTAGTAATCAGGAAAATTTTAATGCACGGTTTGGGGAAGTGGGACGAAGAGTGGTCAAAAGATGAACTGCAGAACAAGGAAGCTGGGGAATTGTTGCAATGGATAGAAGAGAAGGGATGGGAGATTTTGAAAGGGAGTACACTTATACTGGGGCAATAATATTTGATGGATTGGTGAGAAGTGTAATAAAATGTGAGGGTGGAAGGAACACAAGATGGTGGAGTAGTTGAAACTGGAGAAGAAGAGGGTGGAAGCAGGCGATAAAGTACTAGAGAGTGAGTTAGAGCAGAGTAACGACTTAAAGATTTGAAATAGTAAAAATAAAATAAAACATATTAAAATTACCTCTTGTCGTAAAGCTTGAAGAAATCCTTCAGATTTTACAGTGTCTAATTTAGAAATTGATCTTTGTAAATGTCGTCGTTGCGAAAACACCAAAGATCTAAACATTTTCGACCAAGTGTAAAGATTAGCCACTGTTGCTATTCCCAAGACTAAAGCTGTTATTATTAAAATCACATTGAGCGGGACGATTTCGCTTATGTCCTCACTAAAAATTAATTTGATTAATCAAAAATAAAAAGAGATTTTAAATATCTACGTTGTGGATGAAGTTTTTTGGATGACATAAACGGTCAATGCGCACATTCCAATTAATAAAAAACTAAAGGCTATTTCGAATATTAATACGTAAGGAAGGCAGCACATTTTCCTCCATCTCCAGGTAGATGAAGATTTGACTTAAATAAAAAATAAGGTTTTTTTAATAACGTTTGAGTGAGAAAAACAATCAATTAACCTGGTTTTGGTCTAAAAGCACGATATAATCTTGTAGATATGGCACCATAATCATTTTCAATCGCATCATAAAGAGATCCGATCATTTGAACAATCGAATTTTCACCACCAGTTGTACTACTAACTCTCGTTTGATCTGTGAAATAAAAACTAAAAACAAAAATTAAAACAATTAATAAATGAGTAGATTTAGGATTTTTTACCGAATTGGTTGAGCTGATGATTCATCTCCACTTTGATTTCCAGGTGGGTGGCAAAATAAAATTTGAAGAATTACTTTCAAATTGTTTAATTTTCGTGTTAATTTCGTATTAAAATTATGTGGCCAATCCCATTCATATCTAAATAATAATAATAAGCGATCATAGATAACAATTTAAATTGAAAAACAAACCTTTTACTGGAAAACCAAACAATCGCCATACAAAAATAGCAAATGAAAAAGAACGCAACGCCGACTGAGATTCCCAAGATCCAATTGGTTACAATTAAACCAGTTACACAACCAACGACTAGAGATAAATGGAGAATAAGAAGAAATAGTAATGAAGTGAATTGAAATACTGGATCAGCCCATTCGCGTGCAAAATTTTTCATTTCATCTAGAACAAAATATTTAAATTAGGCTAATACAACATTAAACTTGATTAAACCAGGGGGTTCAGTTATAATCTCAAGAAACTAAAAATTAAGTGGTACATAAGCACGAAGAAGAAATAACAAGGAATACAACCAAAGAAAAAGAACCTACATGAACAAGAAAATTGACAGAAAAATGTAAAGATTTTGTTGTAACATCATCTATTGGTATAGAAAGGATAACCAAATTAAAAATGTATGCAACAGATCCTCAGATGAATAAAAGATAACTAAGTAAAACGTTTTAATGTTCTCTAAAAATAAATTACAACTACGTCATTCGTTGTGTAAATAATAAATCAACATAAATAATACCAATCTTCAAATAATGTGATAACGAAAGATACTCAAGGTATTTTCAGATACATTTCAATGATGAAATATTGATTTTGAACGCTTTTGACTAAAATACCTTTGTTAAATACACCTTGTTAGCTTTTAAGACGTTTTTTAAAAAGAAAATAAATAAATAAGGTAATAAAACTTTGATGTTAGAAGAGTCAAAATGTATTTATATACTTAAAATAAAACTTTGTATAGTTTTAAGCTACAACAAACATTAGAGTTCTACTTTTAGAAGTGATTAAAGCACTTAGTAATCAGCAGTTCTCATATATTATGATTTACCTATATCCACTTTACTATTTTATTTGTTGTGGAATTTATTGTAAGGGAAAAAATTATCTATGTATCTGAAAGACAGTTTTATAAACGATTTATATATTTAGATAAGCTCAGATATGATTAGAAATTGCACCCTTAATATATGATTGAGAAGAGCTTCAAAACGTCAACTTAGAATCTCAATAAAAGATGAGATCCAAATTTATTGATTAATTACATGAGTGTGTGCCCTACATGGAGCACTATGCCATTATAGTTAAAGTAAAAATTACATAAAATTTACCTCTATTTTATCTTATACATATTTAGAATAAGGATTATGGACCAGTTAAAGACAATATCATGCAGCAGTATATAATGAGGACTAATAAAGAACGGGTAAGAAGTAATAAAGTTAGAAAGGTTGAGATGGGCTGGCCATGTTGAGAGACAAGATAAATGTGTTGTTAAGTTACTATGGGAAGAGTGCCCAGAGGGAAGGTGGCCGCTGAAAAGACGAAGAATGCGTTTCATAGGTAATATTGCAGTGGATCTAAAGATCCTAAATATTGAACGACCTAATTGTTAACCTCAGCAAATGGAGGCAAATTGTAAAGTCAGAGAAGACCCACCCCTGGTTGTAAAACTATTTGAAACTCCACATTTTAGTACCTTTTTAACAACAGAATCTTACCTCTTAATTTACTCAACAAAAATGATTTTCCACTACCCCATTTTGCATAAAGACCAACCGTAATGGGCATTGATAAAGATGGTTCACTTAAAACATCAGCTAACGCACTACTATACAAATCATAACCCAACATATTTTCGTTATCCTCGTTAGTATTTAATTTTCGAGCACCGAAAATCTGTCCCAAAATAGTTTTCTGATGATTCATATCGATGTTATAGGGAGTTTCCCCAGCTCGATTAGGTCTATACAATAAATGTCCATGTTTTGGATTTCTTAACAAGATTTCAATAATAGTTTTTGATTGAGCTCTCATTGCAATATGTAAAGCGGTGTCCCCTTTTTTATCGCAAGCGGCAACTTTAGCTTTTTTCTCAATTAAAAGTTGCACGACGTCGGCTTGTCGCGATCTAACCGCTTTTAGTAACGGGGTATCGCCGTCTTTTGTGGGTATTTCCAAATCTGGATTTGCGTTTAAAAGTAATTTTACTATCGCAAATTGACTTTTCTCAACTGCTATATAAATTGCTGTTTTTCTATCTTTTCCTGCTATATTTACATCAGCATATTTTTTTAATAACGTCTCTACTATTGGGCGATGACCACCTTTTACTGCATGAATTAAATTTGTATCACCAGCTCGATCCTAAAATAATAACATTATTTATTTTAAAATCAATACTAAAATGTTACATACCTGTATGTTAATGTAAGCACCAACATTAATTAATGCTAAAGCGATTTCATGAAAACCTTCTTTACAGGCAATAGTTAACGCACTACATCCGTCTTTATCTAAGGCGTTTATATTCGGTTTGTGTTCCAACAATAACGTAACAACCTCCTCGTGATTTCCTTGAGTTGCAACTAAAAGTGCCGTCCAAGAATACATACCAGCTGTATCAACATTAGCACCAGCTTGTAACAGACACCTAACGATATCAATATGGCCTTTTCGAGCACCCCAAATTAAAGCTGTCGTCCCATATTTATCACCAGCATTTACTTTCGCTCCATGACTCACTAATGCTTCGACGATTGCAGTGCGTCCTCTTCCAGCTGCCCATAAAAGTGATGGTACATGATAGTTTCCATGAGCATTTACGTCTGCTTTATGCTCTAAAAGTAATTCAACTATATCTGTGTGACCTTTGTATGTAGCCCACATTAAAGCACTCCAACCACCCTAAAAGAAATAATGATTCTAATTTGTTACAAAAAATAAATAAAAAATTAACCATTTCTCGATGTTCAATTTCAGCTTGATGATCAACTAACTGTCGACAAATATCTGTGTGGCCTTCTTTAGCCGCACAAAGTAAGGGTGTCCAATTATCTGAATCCTCCGCGTTTGGATCTGCTCCATGAGCGAGAAGTTCTCTAACGAAATTTCCTCGTCCTCTTGAACATGCGAGCATAAGTGCAGTTCCGCCATTCTAAAATAGATTAATTACAATTATTCATTTGCAAATTCTTAAATAAAAATATTACCTCATCTCTGTCATCTACCACCACTTGTTTACTTTCAAGAAATTGTTGTAATCCTTCAAAATTATTATCGTTAATATATCCAGCTAATGATCGATAACATAGCGATAACATCGATTCAGGGCGATTCAGCGTCTATAAAAAATTAAATAAAATTAATAAGTTAATAAAATTATAATATATATCACACAACGACCAAATAATAAAATAAAATTAACAACTCCAAGCAAATCGGTTAGAACACGTAAAGTTCAAACGTCTTTTAATAACAGCATTTTTCATCCACATCAGCGTTATTGATAAAAAAAACATCGATAAAAATTAAAAACGTGTTAGGAACGTTTTAAAATGAGAATAAACTGACGGTGTTTGAGTGCCTTCTCAATCCAAAATTGAACCTTCTTGAGATTTCTCCATCGGGTGTTGTGACTGAGAACATCGGGATGTGTAAGTTGCTTAAAGATCCACGCCAGGTTCCTTCCGGTATGTGTAAAAACGAGGACAACCGTCTGGGTTGATGTTCGGTTCCGGTGATACTGTGGCGCGCTTGCGAATGTTCCATGACTTGATGTATTGTGAATAATAAAAGTGTATTTTTAGTCAGCCGGAATTGTGTTTTATAGCATTTAGTTTCCAAATAAACAGCTGGTTAGTTAATAAGTTACTTGGTGAGCGATTTATTTTATTTAGGACAACAATAGGAAAATTTATAACAGTTATATTTACTATTACAATAACAAATTTGTAATAAACACAAGTAGTTGATTTTATTATAGAAACCTATCAAAAATTTAATTAAGTTGTTCCACTTCAATAAAATGATTCGTTTAAACGATAATCACAAGTAGTAGATAATTGTTATAGATATTAATAATTTAATTTAAATAAATTTTTATAGTCTCACTTACAGTCAATGATAATACATCCAAAGATTGGAAACTTCGTGTTATTTCAGTAAAAAACCAAACCATGTTTACGCAGCAGATTTAAAAATAATAATAATAACGAAAACGAAATTGAGAATAATTTTACTTAAACAATTTTGCAAAATTATTATTATAATAGGCCGGAAGTACTTTCGACAACAACCGTTGTACGAAACGTGACATGAAAAGAACTAACAAGCTGTATTTAAAAGACATTATTGATATAATCACTGTTCTTTTGTGTATAAAATGATTATGTAGTTGAAAAATTTACGAAAAAGAAAACCGGTATAAACGGTTTTTAATTGAATTTTTAATTTTAAAAGGCAGTAATGCTTGTACTACACCTTGCATACCAAAATTTGTTTTAATGTTATTGAAATCGGAATATATTTTAGAGATGAATGTTGATACTGAAATTACATTTTATACCTTTTACAAGTTAGAATGAATGACTCTGTGGATTTCGAGTATATTTCAAACAAAAATAGGCCAGAGGGTTAAACAATAAGTAATTTATAGCCATTTCTGAACAGTGAGCGCCCTAGTTTAAGTAATATATTCGTCCCCAGCGGCCTAGATAATAATGTGCATCCTAACATACCGCATTTATATAAAAAACTAACTTTACAAAATCCTTAACACCAGTAAATATTGATAAACTGGCACTAAAGGTCTCAACAGTCAGCTCAAGTAATTACCAATAATCAATAATTCTACAAATTGTCGCATCATGTTAAATAGAGTTCTTATAATCCGTTCTACTTCCTTATTTTCTGTTAGTAACCTGTTGCTATGATGATCAATATTATAGTTGGTAGCTTGATAAAAAGCATTAGAGTGTATAAAATCATGATCTATACAAAGAAACGCAGAGAGACTGGATACACTAGAGAAGACAATCTTAAGAAAAGTAATGGGACCAACGAGGGATGAGAATATGTGGAGAACGCGCATGAACCACCAATTGTACCAACTATATAAGGAACCAGGAGTTCCAGGATATATAAAACTCAAATGGTTAACATGGACAGAGTATGTCTAGAAGATAATGGATGAAAGAGTATCAAAGAAGACATTTTGTCAAAGTGGCGTCAGTTTTTAGGAGCCGATCTATCACTTTAACTATAAATATCACACTTCTCCGTTGTTATTTCTTTTCTATCTTGCTGTATCAAGTAGAAACATGGATCACCGAAGGCACTACCAAAAAATTGGAAGGTTTTGAAATGTACGATAAAACCTCGTAAAACTGAATACCTCGATCATACAATGAGGAACGGAAGAGAGAGACGGTTTACCACAAAACATATTGCAGGTGAAGATTCCTGAGAAACGTGGTCTAGGCTGACGGAGAAATTTATGGCTCAAGAATCTTAGTACTTGGTTTTCAACAACAATAACAGGACTATTTGGTGCAGCAGTGAACAAGGTTATGATAGCCAGAATGATCGCCATCATCCGAACCGGATAAGCACTACAAAATGAAATGAATGTAGGTTAGGTTTATTTAGTGATCTTAAACTACCTTCTTGTTTATTTTGATTCTATGAAATGCCATAAAATTCCATGCTACAATTTGCGATCGTTCTTGTAGCATGATATCAACATAATATAAGAGTTGTCAATTATCATTTGCAAACAACACATTTCATCAAACCAGCTTTTCTCTTGTAGTACTCTTGAATATCTGTGGATTTATAAAAATTGCCGAGAAAATAGATCATGATATATCTGACCAAATCATTACAATAATGGTGCCAATTCTCCAATCGCAGTCTTATCCATGTCTTGTCTTCTTGGCCATACCAAAAAAACCAAGTGTAAATAGCCCTTTTATTCAAACTTGCAGTTTTTTAATCGTAGATTCATTAATGTTCTAATAACTGGAAAGTTATTAATATTTGGGAAAGGTTTTATATAACTTATTTAGCAATTACAACATTTTTATGCTTTTGACAGTAAAGTTATAAAGTTAGTAATTAAGTATGGTGTTCAACCTGTTTTTAATTGAGCATAAATAGTACATCCGAGGAATTAGTATCGTATTAATGGGTGTCTATTTTCAAGTCGTTCACTTCCTCATAACTAAGTTCTAAACGGATTAACACGTTTCTTAAAATAGTTAGTATAACTGTTACTTAGTACTTATTTTTTAAACTGTTATAAGCATAAAAATATGATTTTAGTGTTGAATTTTCGCAAAACACAAATATTATTTAAAAACCGCAGATAATAATCTATTTTATTCAACTTAATCCACGTATAAATAGATATTTCTCAATGTATCAAATAACGTTTTTTTTATTTTTAATTCTCCACAATAGAAAAGAATCAATTCATCTTAGATACGATTGTTCTTTCTCCACCAATTAAATAAATCGATTTAAAACGCGTTAAAACGATGACGGTCGGTGATTACGCAACCTAAAAAAAATTTTTCCATTCCAAATCAACTTACAATCGAGCTAACTTTCTTCTTAACACTTCTCTTCATTCTCAAGCTGTCCTTCCGAACTTCTATTAAAGATTACAATCTCTAAAGTTAATTATCACATGTCACTCGCGATATCATGTTCAACTGCAAATTTCTCTAATGGTAATAGACTTAAAACAGCGTATCTCTGATTTAGATAATTTTTGACGACTGATAAAAAGATATATTACACCTTGTCATAATATACATTCACGTCAATGGTTTTATTTAATGGGTAATTTATTACTATAACGGTTGACGCGAGAATAAAAGTATAAAAAAAACAATACCTGACGTACGTATCTTTTTTGAGAGTTAGATTAAAATTGGAGTTGTGAAAATATTTTTTTTAACAACAGCTGATAAATGAGATTAGACAAGAAGGTAAATATTTGGAATGTTTTAGAGGTCAGAGTTGTTATGCTTCTTTTTACAAGATTAATAAAGTGCAAGAAGAGTTATAACTTATATATATTATAAATTTCTATTCATATCCAAATGTAACCACAGAGTCAATTTTTTAAAGCAAACTCATTTGGTTTTGAATAATCATCTCCTGTTGAACAATCGTTGAAAAATTCTAACAACATAACAAACGATAAATAATTTCAAGCTTTTCTCCTTACCTCAATTCTGAGTTTTCTGGCATTTTTAAACATCTTTAATCGGCAGCAACACTAAACTTTATAGAAAGAAGATGACCGCGAATTCGGTTATTTCAAGATGCCAAGTGTTTGCTTTTTTCAATCAGTGCAAATAAAGTCGCGGCTCGTGGCGTTGTTTCGATCTCTTAATAAATATTTAAATTGAGCCGAAAGGATTATTAGTGTTTTAATACGTTTAATTGTTCCGAGATTAAAAATATTGAACCGGACGTAAGACGTTTGCTTAGGATCGCGACGGAAAATACACTGGGACCGTTTTGGTAAAGGCGATTCGGTGCGTACACAAAGACATAAAACTGCAATTTACACGACAAATAGCTACACGCTCATGTTTATTCTGGAGTAATAAAAATCAATTCAATAATGTTTTAAAGATTAAAATATGTCTAGCTTACAAAAAAATTTTTTTGCATCTCTTTCTTCCTTTATAAGTGATTGTAAGTAAGTCATCATTTTATAATCAAGTTTCTTGTAATTATGAATCTCTTTTACAAATCTGTGATCAAATAGTTTCTACTATCACACTGCTTAGTTTGCCTAACTGTTTTGCCACAGTACCTTTGTACACAGATTTTGGTTACAAAGGTTGGATGCTTTATAGTTTAAATAGTAGCCAGTAAACTACTGGTATGCAAATAAAACTTAATAAAACAACAGAATGGTGAAGGCAAGTAGGGCTGGACATAAATACAAAGAAAATATCAGCAATGCACATCACACAGACAACTTATAATATATACAGCGAGGATGTCGAAGAGTTCTGCTACTTGGACAGTATCGTAACAAAAGACGGAGGAAGAGGCGCATGTTGCGCAAAGAATTAAAAAAGCCAAACAAATGTTTGAGAAACATTCATGAGTGACAGCAAGGGGCGGCAATGATGCAGAATCTTTCAAGCAAGACGTTTATTTTGTACAGCGTGTGGATGAGGCGATACGAGAAAATCGTCAACTCACAATTTCTGTATTGAGTGATTCGTACCATCATGAGTGAGAAACTCAACTCTGTGCGAGGTGGGTTGCGAAAATGTTATTTGAATGGGCGCCGCCTTAACGTTTCTCCAGATCTATTATGTAAATGCAGATTTTTTGAACAAAATCGTAACAGAGCTGCAAACCAACGTCGAGAATTGGCTTAAAATACAGGCGGGTGCCTTCTATGATGAGGATATTGTATTGTATTTACAAAAAAAGTTATCATGCATTTGCTTTATTATTAGTTCCTTATATCAATTCAAAAAATTAACCATTATTGAGAGTATCAGACCATTAATAATAATAATAAGAAAAAAATTAAGAGCAAATGATATATCATAAGGATATACATACCTGATTATTTCTTGCAACAGCAGTTCTAACAAATTCATAGTAAGGTAAAACAGATCCGTAACTGCGTGTTAAACCAGCAATTAATGGAAATCTTTCAAAAGGTTTTCCCGACATTTACACTGCAGTTAACAATTAAAATAGTTTAAAAATAATTTTACATATTAACTTGTTAATATACTCATCATGACGTTACTGTACTGTTCGTACAGTTAAATCTTTTTCTGTTGTAAACATAAACATCTCAATGCCCTTTTATCTTCACGTCATGGAACGTAAACCAAATAATTTACTATATCAACGACAAAGTTCACATATACGCCACAAGTTATCAGATATGATTATAAAGACCACATTATCACAATAACAAGTAATAGTACCTCTGAGATGATAGATCGGGTGTCCGTATGTCCCCATCGTTCCCTAATTTCCTTCCAAGATACCCCTGAAAGACTTCTGTATCTAACATTGGGCAATGAGACACGTTTTTTCATCAAACCAGACATTATAAAACTAGTCGCTATCTTAAAGCTAAACTATAAGTACTTTCTACGGTTTCGAGGTGATAAGTGATCGGTTAAACGAAACACATAACGTGTTTATTTCATAGTGCAAAAAAAATGTTGTTTTGATTTTGAGGTTATGTTGTTTACTTACCTAATCTGACGCTGATCTAATTGAGATCTTGTAAATGTTGTTCTTATCACTTGAGAATCACTCAATATATAAATTTATATATTTTACCTATGTATTTAATTAGAATTAACGCATGAAATTGAAAAAAAAATATTTAACATTTTTTAACAAGATTATGACGTTTCTATATTTTATTGACGTTGACTTCTTTGTTCGGTTTTAATGGTGAATTTGAAAAATTGTTTGAACAATATATTGTTTAGTAATTAATTTCTTTAACAAACAATGTAAAGTATTTGTAAACATTGTAAATTATAAATAAAGAAATGTATGCAAACCAAAATGCTTTACTTTTAGTTTAATTTTACTAGATGGCGCTACTTATTAGAATTAAACGCTTTGGGTTAGTTTGTTGGGCTCCATCTATGTTTGAACAGCTTAAAATATCATCAACATTTCTTTAAATAAAATATTTATTAATGTTTATTATACAAAATCTTTATAAATCTATATACAAAATCTTAATAAAACATTATCCTTTTTATAATAAACATTTGATATATCACACAATTAAATTTTATCTTTCTCAATTTACAATTCATATAAAATCCTATGTATTGAAAACCCTAATTTATGATTTTCATTTGGTTTATCCACAAATTTCTTTTCTTGTGATACTTTCGAGTAACCTGTACTAACTGGTGAACTTGAAGGTGTTGAGCTTAAATTTGAACTTGTTGAAAGACTGCAACAATCCACATCTGGTTGATATCTTCCCTGCGTGGACATTTCAAAATTTCTTAAACTCGGGACGTGAGAATAAGGAAAATTCGATTGTGGAGGTAACAAAAATGAACAAGGAACCATCGTATGCATTGGATGAATACTCCACGGTGGGATTAAAGTCTCCGAAAATGATTGGTATGGTGATAATCTCTCAGCGTCTTCTTGGGGTGACTCAGAGGAAATTCTTTTTGATTTTGGTTCTTCAACGGTGTCGTTTGGTTTCCGTTTTTTTGCTTGTCCATCTGCTCTAAATCCTTTTGCAAAAGGGTTTTTGTTGATTTTTATTTCGGTTACTTGTTGGTTCTGAAAAAGAAATTAATTAAATAAATTAATACAATTAAGCTTAACGGTTTTTATAGGAAAAGTCTGGTTTTAAGAAATAGGATACTACGAGGCGCCGGCGCCTCCCATTCTTTCAACGAGCCGACTTCTTAGAATAATTGCTTATTGGAAATGTTGGTCAAAGGAGGACCGTAGATAATTTGTAAGACATCTGTTGGTTTTTGGTTAAAATGTAGGCGGATACGTGATGACTTCTACTTTTGCGAAAGTATCATCATTAATTTAATTTTTAATATTGATTAATTGAAATTTATACTTACTTGATAAGCAGTTACAGCAACAAATTTAGTTAATTCTAAAGGATAACAAAACGTTCTGTTTCCATAAGGCGTCCTCATAGTTAAAACAACCGTTGGTAAATATTCATGCATACTGTTCAAGCAAATAAAATCATTGTACTTTTCCATACTTCCGCTACTACTTAAAGCGGCAGGTAAAGAATTTGTAACCCTAATCTTATCGAAAGACAAAGGTTTCATCATTAGTTCATGTCCGGTTTTACCGGATTCGAAATGAACGTAAATATCTTTGCTTGCTTTTGGGTCGCTGTTTCCGGCTTCTTTCCAACCGGATTTTGCTTGAAATTTTAATCGGCAATTCCTAGACATCTTCATATGTAAAGCAACGTCGTATTCGGCGTTCGGGTCCAAGTTGTAAAGGCGTATTTTGATGGTTGGAAATAATTTCCTGTAAAAATAAAAGAAGGGGGATTTAGATTTTGGTGAAGAGGAAGTTCCTAGTTTTAAAATAAATAAATAGGTGATGACTTTAGGGTCGGTTTTGACCGAAATTGTGGGGTATTAAAATACCATCAGGTCTAAATACCAAGGTCGCTTCCGTTAAAAATGCCGACTTTGTAATCTTAAGAAGTTTCTTTCGATAGCTACTGAATAGTTTTTTATCAACATACATTTTTACGCATTACTGTTTTTGAAGTGTAGTAACAAAAATTCAGAGTTGAGGAAGAAGTTGTTTTACAAATCCACTTGAACCCTTTCTTTAACAAGGAAGGACAAAAACCCTTGTATATAAAAGTATAATAAACATAAAAGTAAAGGACGTTTGACCTGAAAATGGCAAAGGGCGTTGTTTAAGCAGTGAATTGTTTATCTTAACGGTGGCGCCTTCGACGAGGACAAGTAAACAAACCCTTAAGTGCACCGTCATCTGTTGTTCGAAGTTCAACCTTCAACCGTCTCGTTGTCTCCAAACTGACGGCGACGCTAAATTTCTTATTTGCTAGCTAATTTACTTTCCTCTATTCCGAAATAGATAACTAATAATTTAAGAACAGGATATTGATTGAAATAAATTTGAAATATTTAACTTGAATCAATAAGAACCTAAATAAATAATTACTACAACATTTTTTTTTTCAGACTAAAGTAGTTTTAAAGACTACATCGAGTTTAAATCCACCATCGCATTAGGTTGTTGAAGTTCTGCATCCCAGCCAGTTCATTTCTGGTTTTGACCGACTGAGTTTGTGGCCAAATTGCAACTATCAAGAACTTTGAAAGAGAACGCGATTGAAATGATGCCCGAGATCTAAGCTTTTTTTGCTCCAATTAGTGAGGATAATGTCCCAATTGGCGAATAAATCACGATCTTGGAAAATAAGAAATTATTGTGTACTAAGGCAGTGAATAAATATTTTTGTTGACCGCTAAACATTGTAGCCAAAGAATGTTAGTGTATAAGGAATTATTACGTAGTAATGCAGAGAAAATATATTTAACTTATCGCTATTCTATATTAAGGCAAAGAAAAAATGTTTTTGCTACTTGTGAAGGTTTACAGTTGAAGACGCTTACGATCGAGACATCACAGTTAAGCCCCATAGAGATAAAATACCATTGATCTTGATCTATATTGCATTGGCCGCACGCAACCTCAGTTTGAAGATATAACATCGCACCTTTGTTATACAAATAGCTGGTCGGTTAATTTGGCTAAGAAATGTATTTATGCTGGTTATAAAGTACTATAGAAGGATTTTCGCAAATTCCTCGTTTTCATGTTCAGACCCTTTTGCACTGCAAGCAATTAAAACAGAACTTTTGTTGTATGAGATGGTGCGGTAGTTATCGCGACAGAAATCGATTTGTGAAGAACTTTCTTTTTTATAATGGTTTGGGGATTGTTTTCAGATACTGGAGCAGAATTTTTTCACTTTATCTAGTCAATAATGGATCAAAAAGCGTATCTTATAATTATCTCTTGACAGCAATTGGCGGTTTTACCAAGATAACGATTCAAAACACAAAGTAAGTAGGTATCTTATACAAAGTATTGTATAATTATCCTAATGTATTAGAAACAGACTCCAAAGCCTGGACATGTATCCCATCGAAAATTTATGAAACTTTTTTTATACCAAAGTTCGAGAAAGTGCCGGAAAATCCCGGAAATCCCGCTGGAAGAATGAGTTGGGTTGGAAATTAGGCCTCGGGTTTTGTATAAAATTTTTATTAACCCAAATAATTTAGCATAAAAAATTGTTTATCGCTTTTAGCTTTGTAGAAAATGGGTCAACTTTATTTTGTTAAATGGAACACCCTACTTACAAGATATTAATAGTAAGATCCGGGATTCGGAGCATATTTCAAAAAATCTTTTAGAACAGAAGTTGTAGCAAATTTTATTCCTAACAATATCGCTCTCTTGCACTTTTCCTCCTAGATGCATAGATATCGAGAAAAATATGAACATATAAAAATTTGATCAATTTCGTTGTTTTACTAGTTGTTAATGGTAATACTTGGGAAACGATGCATGTTATAAAAAATCTTTTAGAACAATAGTTGTAGCAAATTTTATTCTTAACAATATTGCTCTCTTACACTTTTGCGCTCAGATGCATTTATATTGAGAAAAATACAAAAATATGAAAATTTGATGAAAATTTTTGGCTAATTTTATTTTTAACTAATCTTTCAATATTCATCAATTCAGCCAGATTCATCAAAAATACAAGACTTTCCTATTCCTCGATTAATAATAAATGTAAAACATAATCATTTTGGAAAAATTGTTGAAACAATTGTTATATGTGAAGAGTACATCACAAAATTAGAAAGAAAATAAACCAAACCGCTAGAAAAATAGTAATTTCCGTCTTAACCTACCCCAATAAGAAACCGCTGGATGAGGGAATGTGTTTATTTTTGGAATGTGTCGTAAAGCTGGTTAATAACCGTGGTTATCAGCACTCAAAAAAAATAAGAAAAAAGGTTAAACAAAAAGCCAAGGTATAGTTATCGTGTAAAAGCTTTTGGCTTACACTAGATTGGATAAAGCTATATTACTAATAATAAAAAAAATTTAATTTTAATTTCTTATGTCAGTAGCTTCGTATTATTTGAGTATATAAAACAATTTTAAATTATGCGATAACACAAAAAAAATCTCTACCAAAGAAACCGTCCTCTTTTGATTCAAAAAGCAAAGGTGCCGACTATTACTTAGACATTGTATTTTTAGTTAAAGGCTAAAGTTAGCCCTCTTGAGTTTTGCAATCGATGCGTATTAGAGATTAGATCAAGAAAAATGGCGAGGACAATGAGAACAATGAAGCCGATGCGCGATGAGCATAAGATGAGCTGGTAGCTATGTATGGATCCCGTTTAAAGGATCCTCTGGCATTGTTCGTCGTTTTCAGGGGTTCGGAACAAGTGCAAAAGGATTGTGGTTCGCAGGGTGGCCGTCGGCCTGTCCGGATTGTCGGCGCCTTTTGGTGGAGGGTCAAGTGTTAAGCGACACCCCCGGCGACGCCACACCATCAGACTGGCACCAGTCTCGACCGCTCTTGCGTAAGGCGTCTTTTGAAGATTGCAAATTTTAATGACACCCGAAAGAAGATAAAAGAAAATTATGGTTGAACAAGGACCACAAAATAAAAAACTCTTTCAAGTCAATCTAATATTAAAATGCTATGATATACCTTAATAATATCTAGATTAAAATTATCATAAGAACTATAATAGAAAGTAGAATTGATGATAAAAATTGATTTGTGAAAAATAAATAAGTTGAAGAAGAAAATTATTACAACAAATTTAATTTTAAAAAATTATGACAAAAAAATGTAGAAACATACCTTCCATTCTTAGTGATAATCATCTCGGTACCAACTTTATTGAACATCTTCCAAAGATGAGTGTCAACAAGTACAATAACGGGGGGTTCCATATCATAAAAATCTAAAAAATGAAAAAGGTTCCACTTAAAACATTTCAACCCTTTTTTAAATAATAATCAAAAATTTAGACACAAAACTTTAAAAAATATACGTACAATTAGATCCACTAAATACTGAAGTCATGTTGATAACAAATTTCGAAAGTAAAAAGTCTTACTTGCACTTCACTTTGTCACCGAGTAACTCAAAAGCCAAACTAACATCAAAGGCTACGCTCGTTTTGCCTAAATGCAAGGGATTGTTTTGCAAATACGGGTGGTGCCACATGGTCGCAGATACATTGGTGGAGGTAATCTTTGCGGTTAAGATTTTGAGTTCCTATTGGACGGAGGGTTTTGGTGCTTAACAAATGGCGAAGTGCCCCGACACCCTTGGAACCAGCCCCACATTTTTATGGTTTGACTCATTATATACCGCTAATGGGACCGACCTCACTTAAATAAGATAACAATGGTATACTTACTGGGAAGCACAAAAAAGAAAAAATTCAATATTAAAAAAAGTGTAAAGATTATTTGATTAGAAGGAATAATAATTATATAAATAATATAGGTAGAGAGATGTAACACATAATATGAATATAATAATATGAAGACAACATGTGGTCGATGAAAGAAAACTGGTTATAGATGTCAACAACAAAAGTTATAAAAACACCCAAAGGATTCATAACAGATTTTGGTTCAACCCAACTATACTAAAATAAATAAGTTATTTACTTCAAAATTTGCATGTACATCAGAAAATGTTTATATTTACTTTGTCTGGAAAGAATGCCAGCTTAATTTACTTTGTTAACGAGTTATTAATGTATTTTTGTTACACACATTTTTAAATCTAGATCAAGATTAAAAGAGAAAGTGGTTCAATCGAAAATTAAAAAAATTAATAAAAGTATAATATTTAATTAATGTAATAACAAAAAATAAGGAAAAATATGAAACACCATTTATTATAGAATCACACTATCGACATTACAGAATTATAGAATCACCTTGTCTAATTGTAAGTAAACAAATTAACATCTAAAACATTTATTATTAATATCATCATCACATGTTCATCGTCTTCCGAATCAGAATCTTAGCGGTTTATAATATATGGAGGAATATTTTTAAAGGAAGTATTAGCTATATGGATTACCTGTCTTTTTCAATCAACGTGTTTTATACAATTACTCCATACCTGTATTATACAATTTAACAAAGCACTGCATCACACGTTATTAACACGATTTTTGTGTTGGCTGTCGATTTATTATTATAATAAGTTTTCAATCGGCTCAATCTAGTTCAATTACATTATGCTAAGAATGGTAAGGAGCAAGTTGGAACACTTTAATATTATTCTGTGGAAGACGATCATCAACACCTTTTTGTATTTTGCTGCAAAAGTGGCAAATCTTTTCCCAATGATGAGTTTTTATTTCGTAGTTTTGCATTCAAATACTTTTTTAGGATCGCAAGGTTTTTGAGATTATCTATTGTTACAACATTTTCCCAGGTAAATTTATTTTTCCTGAAACTGTCATGTAATGTTGTAATTGCAAGGCTGGACATATTAATCATACAAATTAACACTAGATCTAGAAACATTCGAATTTAGCCGCACGTCTCTCAAGACGGCTAAACCCGAATGATTCTAGTTCTAGGTCTTGTGTTAGTTCTAGTTATAGTGCTAGTGCAAAACTAGAACAAACACTAGACCTAGAACTAGAATCATTCGGGTTCTAGGTCTAGTGTTAGTTTTAATTCAATAAAAATATACAACATAGTGATATCTAATGGTGACTAGCGCTATCTAGCACTGTCACTAGAACTAACATTTGACCTAGAACTAGAAACATTCAGGTTTAGTCTTTTTAAGAGACGAATAGCTAAACCCGAATGGTTCTATCAGCTTCATGCAGTTATAAGATGGCGTGGAAATCATGACGATGGTGGTTGAAACTATTTTACCATTTCCTCGATAGTGCAATTCATATTGCATAAACTGCAACGACGAAGAAAAACCAAAATCCGAAATTTCATATTCCATGCAGAAGTATATTAGCTCAATCGACTGCTTCACGCAACTGCGCTACATATGTACAGCACAGAAATTGAACTGTTATCACTTATGTGATTTTTTAATATAATTCAATATCAAGATTTTCGTTTATTTACTTTTTTTGAGTAATACATATTTATTAAAAATTTACATTTGTTCTTTTCATAAAAGTTGTTCATTTCCAGAATATAACAAAAAAAAACATAAAATATAACACAAACATAACTACTACGTATATAAACGGATTAACTTTATACATTCCCACTATTTTTATTGAGTAATTAAAATAAAATTATATTTTTAGATAATATTTTCAATCTTCTTAAAATTTTGACAGAAAGCAATCTATAAACATTCAATAGTGGGTTCAATAGATTTTTACCATAACACGCTTCGTGACTATTTGTCAATCGTCAAACGTTCCAATAAATAAACAACTTCAAGGGATGTATACAGCAATTTAGCACAATGTGCGTTGCGTAACTGCGCGTGTTTGTACACAGTGGTCACAAAGACATTTTGGCAGAGATCCATCCGTCGATGGGGTTTGGCGTCATCCGGGGTTGCGCGGCATGTTTCGCCCCGAGTGACTCTTGACGAGTCGCAGACTCGAGCCAAGTAAAAAGGAAAGGCGCCTTACGCATTAGAAGGTTTCCCTGGCACATTAGCCAAAGAACGAAGGACGATAATTACTCGATATCACTGTCCCAGGCGACGACACTGGCCCAAACTGAAAAAGAGTGGCGCCCGACGTCTGTTTTCTTTTCGCAAAATACTCAAAACAGATAATTACGATTTTAAACAGCAATTAAATCAAATTATAATTGTGATTGTCATTACTTTTATATTACATTATGATGGCGATAACCAAATTTATTTATTCTTTTTAATGAATGGGATTTACAAGAATGAAAGAAATTTGAACATTACAAATCAATACGTCTGGCCGCCGCCAGCGTCTCTTTAGGGGGGGTCCCAGACACTTTTAACACTTGCCAAAGGTTAAGAGGAGCCACTCGGCGAACCGGAAGACACGCACCACCCTCTTTCTATTGTCAGCATTACATTTACCTGTGTAAAGGACAGTCGAACTAATAACCGGGTAATAAGGACTACTTTTGGGCTGTATACGATAAATGAGCCGACCGGCGACTTTCCTTCTTCCGTCTACCAAGAACAATATTACCGCGAAGGCAGGAAATGTCACGAAATGGTGACGATAACACTGCGACAAAAACTATGTCCCCTGTGGACAGCGGTTACCACTTTCGAGTATTGTCACTTGAGAGGGTACCCTCTTAAAAGAATACTTATGTTAATTATTTAGGTGACTACAAAAAACTTTTTTTTTTAAGTTACTTCATGAAAAGATAGTCATTAAGAAAAAAAATACCTACTATTTTTGTAATTGCATCATTCGTTTTAGCATCAATCCATGTATAAAGCAGGGAAATATAAACTATTTTACGATTATGTTATCGGCCCAAATTTCAAATATGATGGTATCCGGTTTTGTATTTTATCCATTTTAACCAAACACCTCAACGATGTTGCGATGCAGCCTAAAGCAATAAGAAATGTTATAGTGATTTTATATTGTTGTGTTAGAGTTGTTTTAGATATTTCCAAAGCACTTTATGAGATCTCATTGAGAGTTACGTTAGTGAAATTGGTGGCACCGCCGATTCACAAGATTGAGCACGGTTGATACTCTTCTTGCATAGTGAAAGCGCCGCCCTTGTCAGATCCTTACCTTGTCGTTGCAGAAACTGCAAACTTTCCAAAGTTGACCTCGGTTAGCAGTTTGCCATTACGTAATTAAATACAGACTGGCCGAACGGGTTCTTTTGCTTGATTACTCGGTGCTTGTTGGACTTTCTGGTTAAATATCTGTCTACTATAAAGGTAGCAGTATTTCACCATATGCTTCTTGATGTCATTGTGATCTATGGCTCTTTGCAAGTCTATGGAGATCACATAATAGAACTTCCCATTATCTTTCCTGCATCTGATGTATTGGTCCATTGCGAGGCTTTCGCTATTACTATATAACGTTTTTGTGCAATCTGAATCATAAAAAATATAGGTTAAACCTATTGCAAGTTAATGCTAGTGACAAATATAAAATTCGTCCTATACCTGAGAACGATCAAAATTTTAGTTGTCACAAAGCAGAAGAGGAGATTATTTAACCTTAACTTGAGATAATTTAATCAAATGTTGTATAAACCTTTGTAATCGTAATAAATATGCAGATGTAAAATTTTCGTTAAGTTCTGTGGCTGAAAATGACACTTTGCCCAGGATTTACCAATGGGCGATTTAAAAATGTTGTTAGTCTATCGGTAATATATAAAAACGCAAGAAATTTGAGTTATTTTAATTATTCTTGTCCACTTTATAATTTAAACTTTTAAGGTTACAAATCAAGGTCCGTTGAGTATTGGTTATAACTTTTAAACTAACTAGAAATATTCGGGTTTAGCCGTGCGTCTTCAGACTTTTCTAAGTTCTTGTTTAAGACGCCCGGCTAAACCTAAAACCTTCTAGTTCTAGGTCTAGTGTTAGTTCTAGTTTTAATTGATATTTAACCCTGTAAATTTTAATTGATTTAAAAAATTTTTTTTTGATTTAATCCACTTACCTTGCTTATAATTTCATCCATTTACCCATTTTGAATTAAATACAACCTTTAAATCCAATTAATTATGTGTTTTTCATTTAAAAAACTTAAATTCAACGTCAATTTTGACAAGAAACTGTAATATTTGGATATTAATCACCATGGTAACCGAGTCAAGTTGGATAACCTTAAAATAATAAATTTCTTTTTCGATTTTTTTTATAAATTCTAACCTAATTTTTATTAATTTTAAAACAATTCCAATTCTTTACGATTATCTCGCATTCATAGCAAATTCGTTAATTGTGGTTAATTTAAATCGATTCTAATTAAGAGAAATAAATTAAAAAAATCTTTTTTTGATTTAATCCACGTACCTAGTTTATAATACCCTAGATAAACCAATTTTAAGTTAAATACAGCCTTTTAAAACAATTAAATAAGACTCTTTCCTTAAAAAAACTTAAATTCAATTTCAATTTTGACAAGCAACTGCAATATTTTGATCTTAATCACCATGGTAACCGAGTCAAGTTAGATAACTTAACAATAATAAAATTATAACTGTTAATATTTCGCTTTATACTTTAATATTTTTTTAATTTAATTTTATTTTTTTATGTTTTTGTATATTGTGCTTACACAGTATGTTTATTCAACGGACGTTGGTTACAAATTAATTCTAGCGACATCTAGAAACGATCGATAAAAATGCAACCCATCTGTCATGTATAATCTAACCTCACTTTTGCTTGTCAACAGTTTTTAATTCTTGTAAAATGCCTCCGAAAGAATTAAACCCAACTGAAAAGAAAATTTTCGAAGCAATCGAAAAAAATGATATTCCTTTACTAAGAACATTACTAACGGAAGTGAAGGATGTGAACATTTTTGATGAAAACTTGATGACTCCACTTCAACATGCCGCTTATAAGGGCAATAAAGAAGTTGTACAATTACTTCTTGATCAGGTATTAATTATTATTCAGTCTTATAACATTAATTAATTTTAAAATTTTATTTGAAGGGTGCTGATCCGAATATTTGCGAACACGAACATTCTTACACTGCTTTGCATTTTGGGGGGTTATCAGGAAATGTAGATGTATGTAATTTGTTGTTACTAGCTGGTGCAAAATCTACATCTGTGAATACAGTTGGAAGAACAGCAGCACAAATGGCTGGTTTTGTTGGTAATCACAGTTGTGTTATAGTTATCAACAATTTTATTCCAAAAAAAGATGTTGAATATTATTCGATTATACAAGGCCAACAAACTAAGCCTTATCTACCACCTTTCTTATGTGAAGGTTTTCATAAATTTATTAGTACTGTTAATATTCACCCTGTTAGGTTAGCGTTAAACATCCAAGGAATTCCTGGATTGTTAGATCATATGGATGAAATAAAAAACGTTTTAGAGATGATGTGCAAAAAGCAAATGAAAGGAAGGGAATCAAATGAAGTTATGGCGATGAAATTTCATTATCTTGGTTTCATGGTTGACTCATTATCGAAAATTCGAAAAAATCGTAAAGAAGATGATGATAAAAAGTTTGATGTTATCGAATTATTTTCAAAGAAAATTCTAAAACCAGGCAAAGATAATTATTTGGACTTTATGGACGGTTTTATTAGGGAAGCTGTTAGAGAGTTTCCATTCACAGATTGTACTTTGTTTAGACAAATTGTTACTAGTTTGGCTGGTAAAGATCCCCCACCAGCTCTTAACGTTTTAACAGCAGCTATTAATGGTCACAGAGGATTTGTTGATAACATCTCCGTTTGTCATACTTGTGGAGAAGAAAAACCCAGTAAAAAATGTTCGAAATGTAAAGCAATTCAATATTGCGATCGAAATTGTCAAAGATTAGATTGGTTTGTCCATAAGAAAGCTTGTGCTAGATTAAGCCAAGGTATAAATGAGATAGAAACAAAACCGGATGCTACAGATATATCAAATGAAATCCAAAACTTGCTTATTAATAATTAATATTCTCATTATTAAAATGAATATTGAATTGAGTGGAATAGTTGGAAGTAATCCTTGAACATAATTTTATGTAATGTGTTTAATATTAATGTGGTGTAATTGTACAAAAAATTAATTGAATTTGATGTATCAATGTGAAAATTTATTAATAAATTTAATGGATCACTAAAAATTTTTATTTTACATAAATCTAATAAATAAAAGACAAACTTAACGAAAACAGAATTTATTAACGTTAAGAAAACAAACGTTTGGCTGTAACGTTTGTTTTCGATAAATAATTTTTAATAAATATTACAATAAAGAATATAAGAATTTTTCATCAATCACGACGAGTTAGTTGTTATGGCTGTTAACAATTAACTTGTAAATCAACAAATATGAACCCAATAATAATAAATCCTAACAATTTTAATTGTAGGAATATCAATAATAAAGTATTTTACCTCCATTAAGTATTTTTATACATGAAAATATTCTTAATTTGCAGTTTTACAACCGTCCTCTATATCTATGTTTTGAAGGCCACCAAATGGCTGTTTGGTCGCCTTCCCATAAAATCTTATCTTTACAATAACAAAGTACAAAATATTTGTTGATGTATACAATATTTTTTAATATAGCTAAGTTAAAGCATATCTACAACTAGCACGTCCACCCTTAATTTTAATTTATACTACAAATATAAAGGTGGATAATTACATATTGCTAACTAATACTCTTTATGGATCCTAATATTTATACATTAACTTATAATTAAATTTATTTACTTAGTATCTAGTTGTTTATTATCTCTACAGCTACTCGTTTGGTCATTTATTCGCTGTGTTCACCTGATTGGCTAATATTAAATATTTCTAACAAAATGTGAAAACTTCCAAACGCCTAACTAACTACATCAAAAAAAAGAATACGTAATACACATATTTCGGCTAGATTTAAAGCTACAGCAGATTATACATAATAAATATCAAAATGGATGCAGGGACGCGAACCTCAGACTTCTACTGCATTTGTGGTGGTTTCTTCTGTATTTCCTAACCGTATTTGATTACTTTCCGATTGAATGACCCCATTTACTTGTGTTCCTAATTGCGTATCCCTCCAAGGTGTTGTTAACTTTTTAAATCGCTGAAAACAACTTAAATGTTCACTACTCGATAATTTTTGATTTATATTTATTACCTTATAACAAGTTCCTGGTGTAGTTATAAATTTATAAGCTGCCACTAATGGTATCATACTAACTGATGATCCAGCTATAGCCCACCCAAGAACGTTAGCCCAAGTAGGATACGTATATCCTTCATATGATAGAGGTTCATATCCCAATAAACCATAGACAATGATGAAGAGTAAAAATAAGGGTGCTGCAAATCTCCAACAAAATCTCCAGTATATTCCAGGACTAAATCCGATCATGTCTTTAATATCGTCGCAGAAACGTTTTGTTCCTTTAAAAAAATAGTTTAAAAAAGCTTGTCGAGGTATTTTATTGTGCTATTTACCATAAATCCAAGATACAGCAATGGATTCGAAAAAAACTGCTATTAACATGGAATAACCTGCAGCGTAGCGATCGAGTAAATGAAAAAAGTAAAATCCACCTTGCGAACAAGATGCCAAACCAACCAAAAAGTACAATGTGAAGAGACAAGCGACAAAAATTTCTCTGTTGCGACCAATTTTTGGAAACTCATCGCTCAATGCTGTTATTATAGCTTCAGATCCACCAAACTAAAACAAATAACAACAATTTCTAGCGATATAACATAAATCAAAAATATTAAAATTGGACGATTTTTCTTAATAAACTCAACTCTAACGGAAGTACTAAAAGAGATGGAGAAAGACGTTATGAATAAAAAATATTTCTAATGCATCAAAAAATCATAATCCATATTTATTTCATATTTATCTATCACCAGTTTCTAGTGATATAGCATAAATCACAAAATGTCAAAATTGGACGATTTTTCTTAATAAAATCAACTATAACGGAAGTACTAAAACTGATGGAGAAAGATGTTATGAATAAAAAATATTCCTAATGCACCAATAACTCATAATCTACACTTATTTCATATTTATTTATCAACGGTTTCTAGTGATATAGCATAGAATACAAAATGTCAAAATGGGACGATTTTTCTTAATAAAATGAACTATAACGGAAGTGCTAAAAAAGATGGAGAAAGACGTTATGAATAAAAAATATTTCTAATGCGTCAATAAATCATAATCCACATTTATTTCATATTTATCCATCATCAGTTTCTAGTGATATAGCATAAAATACAAAATGTCAAAATGGGACGATTTTTCTTAATAAAATCAACTCTAACGGAAGTACTAAAACTGATGGAGAAAGATGTTATGAATAAAAAATATTCCTAATGCACCAATAAATCACAATCTACACTTATTTCATATTTATTTATCAACGGTTTCTAGTGATATAGCATAGAATACAAAATGTCAAAATGGGACGATTTTTCTTAATAAAATGAACTATAACGGAAGTACTAAAACTGATGGAGAAAGACGTTATGAATAAAAAATATTCCTAATGCATCAATAAATCACAATCTTCACTTATTTCATATTTATTTATCAACAGTTTCTAGTGATATAGCATAAAATACAAAATGTCACAATGGGAAGATTTTTCTTAATAAAATCAACTCTAATGGAAGTACTAAAACTGATGGAGAAAGACGTTATGAATAAAAAATATTCCTAATGCATCAATAAATCATAATCCACACCTATTTCATATATATCCATCACCAGTACTGATGTATAAAATAGATAATATTAATAGTATGACTTAAAAATATTTTGTTCGTTATATCCGTTTTAACCAGGTTCGTTATATCAAGATTTTCCTGTATTATTGATACACTATAGTATAATAGAAACTATACATAATAAAAATATTTTCTTTTAAGAAAAGAAAACTCACTGAGCTGTCAAGTCCTAACGTAAGTAGCATCATAAAGAAGATTAGCGCCCAAAATATACTGCCAGGCATCGTGGCGATTGCCGCAGGATATACAATGAAAACAAGTCCCGGTCCTTCTGTTGCAACATCCTTTATATCCCTTCCAGAAGCGTGGGCCATATAACCTAAGACCGAAAATATGACGAATCCCGCTATGAAGCTGGTCGCCGAATTGATGATGCTGGTAAGTAGGGCGTCCCTTATAAATAAAATCAAGATTAACTTTAGATTTAACTTAATCCTCGCGATAAACGACATACTTATACACGTTATTGTGGTACTTGTTGTAAGAGGCGTATGCAAGCAAAACACCAAATCCTGGCCCCAAAGAAAAAAATACTTGTGTTGCTGCATCTACCCAAACCTAAAATAAATGCAATTAATTGATTTTATACTAATTTCAAATGATGTTTATTTACTTCTGGTGAAGTTATTTTATTAAAATTCGGATTAAGATAATATTTGATTCCTTCCGCCGACCCAGGTAAAGTTATTCCACGAATTAAAAGAATTAAAAGCACAGCGTATGGAAATAAAGCGGTGAACCACACAACTTTTCCCGACGTTGAGATTCCTTTCCATAAAGAAAAGTAACAAATTACGTAAACTGCCAAAAGGCACAACGCGATATCCCATTTTATGGTTCCAAGATCGTGTAATCCTTCACTTCGGTGTAATTCTAAGATTGCGCGACTAGATTTTAAAAAAATTATTAATATAAAACATCAAAGAAATAAATAAACTTACTTAAAATATTCAGATGCAGCAGAATCGAAGCTATTTGCAGAACCAGAAGCCGATGAATTTCCATTAGTTGCGTTTGCTAAATTTACATCAAACTAAAATTTTAATTATAATTAGATAACGAAATAAAACACATTTTATTAATTTTTCTTACTGGTCTACAATTTGGTGTATTCCATGGATTATCGCACGTAGTCCATGGCAAAAGATCGGTAAAAGACGCGAAGAAAAATCGTAAAGCCCAAGCGATAATCACGTTGTAATAAAAATCGACGTAAAACGCTATAAGTACAACAGCGTATCCTATTCCTAAAAAAATATTTTAAATCAAACTATTATTAATTTAACTTTTTTATTAGTTTGAAGTAATTTAATTTATCGCAAAGAAAAACTTAATTATCGATGATTACTTCAAGTTTTAATCAATTTAATCAACAGGTGTGTTTCCATTGTAAGGTTTCTTATTGAAATAGGAAGTATTGTGTTCGAAAATGGAAAGAGTCCGACTAAACTGGGATCGAGCGTAAAATATCTACGAGAAGGATGGTTTTCGCGCGAGCTATAGCAAGAACTCGAGAGAGTCAATTATCTACTCGGACTAATACCCGGAAGCTGCCGCTCTCGGAAACGGTATTGTGAGGGGGTCTCGACGTCGTCAACTCGTCGCGAAAGTTGGGGAATTTTTGAACAGAGAAAGAGAGAAGTACATCAATATTCAGCTGGGTTTAAGAGAGAGTGGATGGCCACTTAAGCTGAATTATATGACTTTTGCGGATCGGCCGAGTGTGAAATTTATAAGTGTTTCAAGGAATGATGATTTATGGATGATGGAAGTGGATTTTTCTTATACTTAAGTAATAAGAAAAAAATGTAGAGTACCTTTGAGAAGTGGTACGAGTCTTCCCCAACAAGTTATTGCCCCTTTTCTGTTGAACTGTCCTAATGCTAATTCCATGTAGAATAATGGAATTCCTCCGATGATAAGCATAATACAATATGGAACTAGAAAAGCACCTAAAATAATAAATAATTATACAAACAATATTTTCAATTTAGTAACATATATAAATGTAAATTTATGTTCTTCGTATAGAAATATTGATTTTAAGACAAAATTTAAATTATTGGCAGGCTACTTCTTGTTCATTGCCAACATCTCTTCCCCAGAAGATGAGTTCCAACATTTTTGCCATCGTTTTGGTGGTCTTCCTTGTGACATTTTTTCTACTGGGTTCTCTAAGTTCTATTCTTGCGATTTTAACGTCTCTGGCGTCTTTTATTCCTCTTTTATGTTTGTTCCAGAATCTTTTTCTCAACTCATCTTTCTAAGTCCTGTATTCCACATTGTTGTGTGATATCTTCCTTCTATATTCTGAAGTGTAAAAATTTGCCTTGTAGATTTCTTAGTGGTTTTCATCTAGACTGTTCTCATTATTTGTAGAATCCTGCTTGTATCTCAACTTGTCTCTGCTGCGCACACTGATTTTATAGTTAAAAAGATTTCCTTGAATATTACTAAGCATTTGGTCTTCTCAGTCTTGATGAGCATATTTAGTTCTTTTACTTTAGTGTTAAAAAAATGTAGTAACATTTAGAGGTTGTCATCAGAATCTGTAATAAGAACAGCATCGTCAGCGTAGCAGACATGGAAGAATGTGTTCCCATTTTGAATCCAGCTGTTCTCACACGATTTTCTCTGGGCGTTCTCTCTTTCCAATGAGAGCTGTGATGGTTTATTGATAATTAGAAATTGAACTCTATCTGTTGGTTTCATCTGTCTTGCTTTTGACTTCTGTGTGATGGAACGAATAGACGGCAAAGATTCATAGACAAATAGCTGACCAGCAGAATATGTATTAAAAATATAAAACTTTACAAATACCATTATAGTACCTAGACATAGTTGCCCAATCGTAATATTAAAAGTAATTGATGGCATATTAAGTGTTTGAAATCCAAGTTTATGTGAATTTTTGCAAAAACTTTGATCATGACATAGAGCTGTATGAACACGATACCTTAATATGGAAAATTAACAAGAATCTAATTAATTCCTTTTGATCTGAGGTTGGCTGTCAACTTTGTTTGGAAACTTCTAATAGTATGTGAAACTGATACTGCAGTATGGAAAGTTAATAGGAATTTAATTAATTCATCTAGTTCTGGTAGTTGGTTATAAACCTTGTTTGGAAACTTTTTCCGAAAAAACTTCATTTATGAAATAACAATGAGAACATCTATGAGTCTAATCTATTGGGCTCAATTACTCCTCCAGTTTATCTCAGACTCGATAAGTACCTCTTGAGTGCAATGAGAGTTGATGGTTACGATGTCATTGTATCGGCTATGTGTACGTCTTTACTGAATTACTGGCTTAATATCCAAATAATTATTGCGTATCCAAAATATAAAGCTTTATTTCTAATGAATTAGGGAGATTGTCGCAGAGATTACAATCGATCCTGTCAAACCGACTACGAAGGTGATGGGATAAGTTATACTTGATGCCTTATATTTAGATAGTTATACTTGGGTGCAATGAATATTGAAAGTCTCAATTTCAATGTCTCGATCGCAAATAGCTTCGATTTGAACTATTGCTTGGTTATTAAGCTATATATCCCTACAAATTATGCAGTTTTATATCTGTATTTGATTTCAATTAAACATAAGCTTTCAATTTGTAATGAACACGACAAATGAATCATATATGTGAGTTTTTTAATTATTAAGAACATTGAAATATTTATAAAATTTTAATCAAATCAAAAATCAGATTGGTACTATATAAAATATGATTTATTAATTGTAGCAAATAAAATTCAAAGATAACACACAACAAAATTGTATTTTACCTATCCGATTTTTCGAGAAAGTCCCTGTGAGAACACTCCCGGCTTTTTTTGCTTTATTCTTTCAAATCCTCTTTTAAAATAAATTAAATCTCGATTCCTTTTCCTTGAGGATCAGATTTTCTACGTGATTGTCTTTAATGTCTTGAGAGGATCAAAAAGTCCATTGAGACTTGTTCTGTAATAAAATCTCAATTTCTTTTTACATTAAATATAGGGGAATTATTCTTATTTTTTAACATTAACACTACATAAAGCGAACCTGTATGTGTGACATTTTTGATATGATTTCGTTCTTTTTTAATTGAGGTGTCAATTAATTTGGTAGTTTAATAAGCGATCACCGTCCGGTCTTTACTCAGTGTAAAGTGGCAATAAAGCCTCTTCTGAACGTCTATGCTCGAGTAATTCGATTTTAAGGCCATTAACAGGCAAGGGAGTGAAATGATAGGGGTCGCGAAGTGATATTCTGAACCTGTTATAACTATAAAATTAACGAAAATTATCAACTATAGCATGCTATTTAGATTACATCAAAAATTAATTTGTACTACAAGAAAATTGTAATAAAAGTTTTGCATAAAAGAATATCAGTGGAAATAAAATGTTTAATAATTGAGTTAAAAATCTGTTGGAATAAAGAAATTAAGATTTTTGTACTTTGAAGTCACAGTCAGACGAATAAGAGTCCGATTTTTCTTTATACTTCGGTTAAAGGAATATTAACAATTTCCGGTCGTTTACAGACTTCGTAAAATCGTTTCCGTTTTGAAATAACTTACCGCCGCCGTTCTTATAACAAAGATATGGAAATCGCCAAACGTTCGCCAAATCAACAGCAAATCCAATAACAGACAGAAGAAAATCCACTTTTTTACCCCATGTTTCTCGGGCGTCGGTTACCACTTCGGTACCTGGAGGCCGAATCATGGTCGTCGGCGTCGTGGTTGTCGACATTTCTAAGTTTCAAGGCACCAACATCTAACAATAAAAAATATAATAACTAGAATATTAAATTTTTAATCCCTACCATATTTAAAAGAATTGCGAAATTCTCGAACGAGCAGAAAATTAAAAAGAGAAGTTTCTTGCAAAAGGAATCATTTATTCATTCTATAGTATCCGGTGTAAGTTGCAGAAAAATAGGGATTAAAAGATTGGCCAACAAAGGAGAAGGGAGATTGCACATAATGGGCATAGATGAAGTTGTGGCGAAGGATTAAATAAAGTAAGCAATTTGGAAGATGGAATAAGAAAACCTTAACGACTTTACCTACGCAAGAAAATCTTCACTGTATGCAAAACCTACTCATGGTTGTTACTGACAGAACTAATATTTAAGGAAGTCCTCAAAAAGAACCTAATTTTTTTCTGTGTAGAAAGAAATACAAAAAGAAAAGTTGTAAAAAACAGAAGGTACTTCCAACAAAACTGTCTGAACCAAAATGACACAAGGAACCAGCAAGATTCCAACAAGTCTGGTAATATGACTGCAAAATCTATCTGCAGGTAATTGGTTCATCGATTTCTAACTCGTTAATAAATTAAAAAGGAAAATGTTATGTGATGTAGACACTGATGAAGAAAGATAAATATCCCATGTTTTTATGAACTTGAAAGGAAGAAACTGATACAGAAGGGTGTTTGTGTTCAATGTGTTCAAGACATTTTTCCATAATTGTGATGAATCCGTTGATTTTGGAACTAAAAATAGATCGAACCTAAGAGTCATCACATTCCACAATTCGTGGATATAAAGTTACACATAAAGCGCTTACATCTTTGCCATTCTGTATGTTGGAGATATAAATTCTCAAGTAATTTATTTAAAAAATCAAGCATACCAAAAAACCAATGCATGGCAAAATATTTCATAAGATTTTGGGTAATGAGCTGACAAACACAAAGTTTCAGCTAAGAAGATTATCACATCTAGACTCCACATTTTCAGGCAAGTCCACTCAAGCACTTTCCCCCTGTATTCAGATGAGTTATACATAGTGTGGAAACAAGAATCAGAATGGTGATAAAGAATGTATGCAAAAACGTTACAAATTAATGTGAATTAACGTGAAACGCATTTATTTCATTATATTCAGGTATTTAAAAAAATCCTATTTCATAACAATGTATATTTTATTATACATTAATTATTACTACAACATATTTATCACATTATGTTAGGGGTTAAGTATTATTTGGAAGATTGCGAGGTTTATGTTTAGGGAAACCACTTAACACCTTGAATGACACCTGTCCGCGACAGCTAGCGAGATGGAAACCCATCGAACTGCCACTAGACATCCATTTGCGGTCAACCCTCGCGTTACCCTAAAACAATGGGTCATCATCGATGGGATGTCACCGGTATAAATCTGTTTACATTCGCATCAGTTTGTGTAATGAAATTAGGTGTTGATAAATTGATTGTGATGCGTTTGAAAAGTTCCAGAAGGTCTAATTTTAGATTCGATTAATCAATCTCGAGTAAAATGTATTTCAAACGGGTTTTAATACGAACCTATCATTGAAAGCTTTTATATCTTATAAATTCTTCGTTTAATACAAGAATATTTGAAATTTTACTATTTTAGAAAAGAAAATAATAAATATAACTAAAAAATATGGATTGCAAAAAGTTTTGTCATTTTATCAAGGAAAACAAAAGGCAAAGGGTTAATATAGAATCAATAATTTCAGAAAAAGTATCTAATATTTAGGAAATGTGGCGATGAATATAAAAGCAAAATATAGGAAAGGGCCTGTTAAATATGAACAATTTAAATTAATAGTAAAAAATAATCAAGAGATGTAATTAAAAATACTTTAGAAAATGTAACTAGAACTAGAAGAAGATAAAAATCGTTGAAAAAAATTAATCAAATGAAAAAAAAATTGATTTTAAGAGAAACTTAAATTTTCTTATCATAATTTTAAGAATCACAAGAAAACACATTACATTAAAAAAAAGAAATCGAAGTAATTATTTTCTATGATGATAACAAAAACAACTCTATTTCGCACTATTACAAAAGATACCGACTATAAAGAAAACGATTACACGACTCTTGTTTAATCCCACATTAAAATTTATTGTTCTAATGATATAATTGACTGTCCTCAATTGTGTTTTTTTTTCTAATAAACGAAAAATATCTTTTCAAGTCTAAACATTCTCGTAGTAAGCAACGGATAAAATGATGAAGTAAAGAGAATTAAGTTTTATGACTTACCTGTTGAAGGGATCGACCAACATCTCCTTTCAGCGCCAGAGGATGCAGACGATAGTGAAACTGGAGTCGGTCTGCCCCATCGGTGGATGAAATGATTTGGCCAAAGGAGGGTCGTCAGTTTTCGCAAGAAGCGGATCATGCGCGGTATTAAATATTTCATATTTCCAAGAAGTGATCTTTTCTCTTTAATCGATGTAATTAATCTATTAACATATCCTCAAAATAGCTTTTTAGAATCCGAATGCAGTTTGTTTTTAATCGTATTTTTAAATAAAATCACAATTTTATTAATGATTTTTATTATGAAATTTCCCTCTGGGTTTTTTATCATTGGCTGGTGCTAATTGAAACTAAATGAATCATGGAATAACATTAATGTCCCCGCTAAAACCTCTACAGTTTAATAGCTAAATGGAGATGTTCATAACTATTGACTCAGTCAATACAAAAGCTTTACTTTTTGTTCGCCCTAAGAAACTGTTTCTCAAGTCAATATGTTCTGTGATTCTACCTTGAAACAGGTTCACTTTCAATACTATATTTCTGAATTTATACCAACACAGCATGAGCACTTACAGACTCTATTTGATCTAGAACTTGTATGAAAATGTCAAAATCAAGTATTGATACTCTTTCAGCGATAAATGAAATAAAAGTAAGTTCTGGCGCAAATAAAACAAAATAAGTAAATTACAACAACAAGGATTAGAATAAGATGTGTCTTTAACCAAATCGCAAATGTCTTGGAAGTACACTTTATAATCCAGTTAGCCATGAATTGTAAGATCTTCTTTTGTGAATGCACTTAAATAGCCTAGATAAATTGAAATGTAATTAAATTAATAGATTAGTTAGTTGCGTTTGAATTATTGAGTTATTGATTATCATATTTTAGCAAAATAGACTTGGGTTGCATTTATTTTAAAAAACCATATCTCTCCCACATTGAGATTCCTGATCGCTCTTCTTTGCTGTGGTATCTACTCCATTGCTCTTTTTGATAATGTGTCCTCCACCATTCGTTGTACACGACCATGCCATAAAACTTGGATTCTCCCAATATCTTTCATTATTGTCTCTTGTAACCCCATTTGTTCTCATATCACTTTATTGTTGCATGTATCGACTGAAAAAAGCATCATTTTGCATCATCTGAAATTATAAGTATAAACTCCTTTGAGAAACTTCGTTTAATTTTTTATGCAGTCTGATCATCATACAAACAACTCAACATACATATACTTTCGGGTCTTCACTCAAAAATTTTAATATCATACAATAATCAATAATCATAAAAAGTACAGTTTTATGGTCTGACTTTAGCAATTTTATTTCGAAATAGTATAAAACTTTCCTATTCAAGGGTAGCGGAAATATTAATTCGTTCAAGATTTCACGTTAAAATAAAATCCTTTGAGTAGATAACCGTGTTGCAAACAGAGCCCGAAGCATAAATCGGTCATTTTAAGCGTCTTTTATGATTAATGACCCCCGAAGTAGAAAAGGCTGTAGTGGACATCGTAAAAAGGGTTTACTTTCCATTTTAACGCGTAATATAAATGCCCATTTGACCGTATCCACTTTTAAACACTTCTCGAATTACCGAAATTTATATTCTAATTCAATTTCATTTCAAAATTATTAGAACCATTTTAGCCAACATTAAATAACTAAACATTCCTATTTGATTCTTATTTATAAAATGTACGAATCAAAAAACACAACATCTGCGTATTTGAGTTGTATATTAATCATGTTATGCTGCTCACGACACTCAACGAGTTAAAAAGATTCACACATTAACTCCCAAAAAGTTAACACTCCAAATTCCTGTGACCAAATGTCTATTCGAGTAAATACAGTGATGAAAATAAGTTAAATAACAAATAAAACTTCATAATTTAAGTTTTGCTTTACTTTTAATTATGTGGTTGAGTTTATTTCACGGTTTTTGAACATCTTAAAAGTCTTGAAGTAAGCAGAAACAAACAGAGAAAGTTTCTCTTCCCATTACGAATCAAAACAATACAGATACTTTCTTTCATATTTCTTAATTTGTTGATTCTAGATTAATTCCTATCGATTCATTCATTTAAAAAATTCTAAACATGTTTTTAATAATCTTTAAAACCCAACTTCTGTAGATTACATTTAAGTTTCCCGCCATTATATTAAATATATTTTACGATTCGGATGAGTCTTTAACAGTGGTGGGGGGAATATCTTTTCACCCTAGATATTTAAATATAACTTTGAAGTTAATAAGATATAATTAATTTTTTTAAAAAATACATTGACTTATAATTACGGAAAAACACATTGTAAGTAGTAAAATAAAAAATTTTAAAATTGTTTAAATAAATTCTTGGAAATTTTGTAATTTCAAAATCGCTCCCGCCACTTTATGCCACTAAAGTTGTTTCTATTGGATGAACGTTCACCAATAGAAACCCGTTTTTTTTGCTCTTTAATGGCTTATTGCTAATCCAGCATTTGACAGATGTTTATAAACCTTGGAATTGTACACACACAAATCTTTTTTTCCTTGTATACAACAGCTGTGTTTAATTAGAGTAAGTGAAAAGTTACCCATTAAAATAGTTCTTTTTGGTTGCACTAAAAGTCTTGTGATTTACTATAAATATGAGCGACGAAGGAGGATTTGATCCCTGCGAATGTTTTAATTTCCATGAAATCGCCATGCGAAGACTATTAAATATGGTAATTACACTATAATTAAGCTTAATATCGTGTCATTATTTCTATTCTTTGTAGTTGAGACAATCTCAATCATATTGCACAGATTCTGAATGTGTTGATGATATTACTGGTAAGTGAAAGTTGGTGAGTGTTTTATTATGAAAATGTTTCTTTTTTAGGTGCATCTCTACAAAGAGGGAATGATGAAGGGATTTTTATGATGAGTGTTATGTTTGTTATGGCCTTACTTATTTATTATTTAAGACCTAATCGATTTAGAACTAAGAATACTTCAGAGAAACCTTGCTTTAACGAACGGGTAAGATTTCAACAAAAAATAACTCTTTATCAGTAAAAAATATGTAAGAATTTTTTGAAAAAATATGCAAATCGTATAAATACTTTTTTCTATAAGTTGTTTCAAAAGATTAAAATAAATGGAGTTAATTTTCTAAATTTCTTTTTACACTACAAAGTATTAATTGATTAAAAGCGAAAGATTTAAATATTATTTTTGTATCCACCCATATTTAGGATTATTATCTTGTTTCAAGGTAAAATTCGCTCATTATACCTGCGTCGGGTTCATTTTAAGCATTGACCTTGACGAAAACCTCCATAAATACACGACCATTGTAAATTTTCGTTGATCCGTTAAAAATTGCGATTTTTTTGCAATAAATCTCACAAAAAAGGCATATTTAATCTAAATTGAATGTCATTATGTTCTTTGTTCGCAGGATTCGAATGGAGCACCACCCACACCGCCTCCCAGCAGTTGTTAAATGAAAAATCTAAAGTTTTAGATTAATTGCAACCTGCGTTTTTAAGTGTTAAAACACTTTTTTAATTCTACACGCACATTTTACAAGATAGAATAAATTAATATATAATAAGGGTGTTTATATTTTTGTATAAGAAAGTTTTTTGAAAAATTATCTCATAGGAGAAAAAATTATGGCTAGTCTGGTGGGTCGAAATTATCAAAAAAATTATTGAATCTCGTTATGAATGGTGATTTTTATTTGTGTAATGCAATTATCAAATTGAATTTGATATTTTAAGTCTTTTCTTTTTGTTTTTAAACATTCCCATTTAGATTTTTATTATTATTTTGAGTTATCTATTAAGTTAAAAATTTTATTTATACACTATTAAAATTAAATTCTAATTTTATTTTATATTAATATTAACAATAATAATTTGTTAACAATATTATGTAACAGTATCTATGATTTATAAATTATATTGTGTTGTTTTCTTGTAGAAATAAATAGGTATGAATAGGAGTTATTATTTTTTTAGGTTGTGTTAATAATTGTGTACAAATCCTAGTTCAGGTTCAATTTTATTATGAAAATGTATATAGGGTGCAGCAAAAGTCAGATAGCCAATATGGGGACAGATCCGACAACAGGTAATGTATTAGGCCCCATACACCTGCAAACTAACGTTGCACAACAGGCTATTGTGCAAACAAGGTTGCCCATAGTTGGTTGTGTTGTGTACGCACGGAAACATACCGTCTGACGAAGCAGCCTGTTTAGCTATAATAATTGCTGTTGCGTCGGAAGATGCTAAAAGAAAAAGGAAGCAGAGGGTATGAATAAAGGAGGTTAAAGAAAAGATCATTTTTTAGCCACGCATATCTTCTCAACGACCTTAAGTTGAGATCACCATTAGACTATAAAAATTATTTACGAATGGATCCCACTTTTGGTGAATTATTGGTCAAGGTAACACCACTTATACAAAAACAAGACACAATATTGACAGAAGCAATAACATCCAAGCAAAGTTTATTTGCTACTTTAAGGTACCTTGCATCTTGACTTACCTATTATGGTTTAAAGTTTGAAACAGATATATCTACTCGCAAAATTTATGATCAAAATGTCACATGTTTTCGTAGGGGACGATGCCTTCCCACTTATGGAAAATTTAATGAAACTATTTAGTAAGAGAAACCTCAACAACGAAGAAAAGATTTATAACTACAGGACAGGGTGTCACACGGAACCAATAACGTTGCGCAACTAATTTCAAAGAATTTTTAATTTCTGCAAAGCATCAACCAACACCATACACTACATAATTTTAGCAAAACAGCGATTGTTGCGCAATTTGCTTGTCGGTTTATGGGGCCTATATGAGTGACCATCGTCATTGTTGCACAACACCATATACAGTACGCGAAAGCCAAATATGGTGTTTGAGAAAGACAAATGGTCAAGAAACTGCATAAGAAATTCTCGCAGTCCGAGTCGGTTTTCAATGCGCTACGCAGTCACAAAAGATAATATGCAACACGTTGAGATGAGTCAACACAAGGCTTCATCATCTCTACAGGTCATTGACCTACCTTAACAGTTCTTTCCAAACTTATATATCCCGTGCTTGTCGTCTCTAAACCCCGATCTTCAGCCTCCTCATTGCGTCCACAAATTGTCTCTTCGAGCTCCAAAGTGATCTCCTACCCACAGGTCCACGGTGATCAAAGGTAATTCTTGTGGTACTCTTTATGTCCGTTCTGACTACATGGCCAACCCATCTCAATCTTTGCGCTTTGCTAAATTTAATTCGATCCCTACTATACGAAACTGCTAACCGCCTTTGCCACCATATACTTGGTCTTTGTGAAATTTAACTTTAAACCCATCTTCTCCGCGTCCGTTTTCAACCTTGTAAAGTCAATCACTTCGTCTTCTGTCCTCCCTATATAAAAGAATACCAAGATTCACGTTGATTTATAACCTAATGATCTAGATTCGGAGTGCTACATCTCGCACTATCTTTTCCAGGGCAATACTAAAAAGCAGACATAAGAGCCAGACACTTTCGTGATTTTCAAACGTGCTTGATCGATCTACATGAGTTCTGACCTTACAGAAAACTTTCCTGAGAGTTAAACCTATCATTGCTATCAGAGGAGTAGAGTTAATAAATTATAATACAGATTCAGTGAGTACCACAGAACCAGAATCGACACAGGTCCTTGAGACATAGCTGGAGACGACAGAGCAAATATTACTCAAACCGCGTATCATCGACAACGGTTAGAAACTATTTTAATTAGCTTGTGCGAAACCATGAAATAAAACTTGCTTTTTGCGCTTCCATCGCCAAATTGACAAAACGTAATACAAAAACTCTAAAATTAGTATTAAAAATGGGTAATAGAAAGCTTTGAAGTGAAGTTGGGGGTTACTGATTTGTTTCTATCAAATTGACATGTCAAATTAATAAAACCAAGAAATGGTTCGGTCTAATTAGTATTCTTTTTTGATTCTGTGCATCACTTCTTGTAGTGAGGAGTTTCCATGATTAGTTACTTTTAGAGGTAGTTTTTGATATTAACCGTTTTTCTAGAAATCCACCTTAAATTTTCTTAAATTTTTAAAATTTTTTTGCAATTTTTAACAAGGTGGACAATTTAAAAAATTCTGTGTCCACCATTTTGAATTCTCGAAAACGGACATCAGATTCTCCAAAATCGAAGTGTGTTGTCTACCCTTAAAACGACGCTCGGGCAGATATAACGATATATGTGTCGAATATTTTACACTACTTGTATGCCAAATTTCAAGAAAATCGCGGTATGGAACTTCCCTTGTGAGAAATAAAACAATTTTGTTTAGGTGAAACAATTTTCCTCCATAATTGTGATAGCTAAGTTATCACCAAGCTTATATTCAGCTGGGAAGTTTCCTGAAAAATAGTCATAGTTTAAATTACAGTATCTTGATACATATTTTATTTTGGACCATAACCTCTGCTTTAAACCAGATGCAATAAAAACCACCGTATGTGACATAAAGATGTAAATGAAAAGTTTTTGTTACACCAAAGGCTTTCATTCCAAATTCAATGGGGTTCCTAAAATCTCATAATAAATAAACTCCCATTAACTTATTATTTATGGGTGAAATTAATAAAATCCTTATATAATGTTAAACTAAATAGGTATGAAGAGGGATTATTATTACTATTTTAATTATAAATTTTATTTCCAGTTGTATAAAATGTACACCTTAGTCAATTATTAAAATTTGTACTGTCTCTTTTTTTTTCTTTAAAGTTACTATACAAATAATGACGAAAAAAACAAAATTCTATATTTTCCTAAGGTTTTAATTTTTCACTAATATCTTTTAATGTTTTCCTGACTTTTTGTATAACTGCGGACATCTGTTCATACTTTCCTGTTGAGTTTGGTAAATTTTCAAAATTTATCACCGGTGATATGTCTTTTGAAAATTTATCTGGATGCGGTAAAACGCAATAAGGTGATGTAGTCTGAAAAATCGGCGTTCCAAAAACGCTTAATTTTACATCTCTCACAGGCGAAGATGGAATAACTCCATTCGTCGTATTATCTTCAACAATCTCAATTTTACTATCAATGTTTTCGTCAGTTTTGTTATCACTCTTTTCAGCGTCCTTTTTCTCTTCCATTTCGCTATTGTATTTTCCGCCATCTAATTCAGCTAATAATTCTAATTTTTGCTTTTCTAACTCTGTTAAACTTGGTGAAAACACTTCTTCACAGCCAGAAGGAGCTGTACTATCATCCGTACTTTGATCTAAATCCATATCGCACGTTTCATTGTTATCTATTTCTTTTTGAAAAGATTCCTTTAAGAAATTTATCATTGCTTCTTTACTACAACGATTTGAAAACGGGGGACAATCGTGTAAATTGTATTCCTAAAATTCTTTTTTGCTCAAGAAAAAAAATTTAAAATTTAATAAACACACTTACATCTTTTATACCTTCCTCTATAGGCATATTAAATCCTGGATACTCAACAATTTTATCAACGTTAATATTAGTTGTAACCTTGTTTTTGCTGTTGTAATCTTCTTTTCCCTCAATATTGAACAGGCTCATATTGGATTGTTCTATTTTGGCTTCTTCTAACCACCCAGGTGGATAACCAAAAAGCCTCATTTTATAAATGTAAGGGGGCAATTCATCTTTATATATTCCCAAAGCGTCTCTTAGATGTTCGGAAATTTTTCCTGGGGAGAATTGGGAATATTTCTGGTCTTCTTCCATATGATAACGACTGGATTGAACAAAAATTATTTTATTAAAGATTAATGTTACTTTAATTTAATAAAGTGATACAATAAAGTCCACATACAATTCAGAAAATGATAATATCTCAGCTCCTGAAATGTAATTCAATGAAATTTTTAAACGAAGGATATTAGAAGACATGTAGAGTTAAGCGGTCAATTTTAAAAACGATCACAACTACTGCATTTGATATAGCCAAATCACACGCGGTATCAAAATCTATGACCGTAAATCCCGAAACAGTTCGACTTGTGCTATGAAGTGATGGCTACAGCAGCAGAGTTCCCAGAAAAAAGCGATTCATATTGAAAACAATTGCGAAAGAGTCGATTTTGCTAAATTATATGAGAAAAACGATACTACCTTCTGGTATACTGTTGTATTTTCAGATGAATGTAAATTCAACATTTTTGGTTATGATGGGACAACAAAAACGAAAAGATGAATAAGAAAAACTTAACGCCACAGTGAAGCATGGCGGAGGAAACGTGATGGTATGAGGTTGTATGTTGGAGGCTAGTGTAGGAAATTTAGAGTTTATTGAGACAATTATAGACCGTCATGTATATCTGAACATATTGCGAACTAATTTAAAGGAATTGGTCAATAAATTAGGCTTGGGATCACAGTGAATATTCCAACACGATAATGATCCCAAGCACACAGCTCACATTGTGAAGGAACGGGTATTATACAGGGTTTCACAAAAGTAACGGATAAATTCGGTAAAACCATTAAAAACAGTTTATGGAAAAATCGCTGAGACGGGTCTAAAGATTTAAATTTTTTGCAATTATTTGGTATAGACTTTATATATTTGGTATAGCCAATTTAAACAAGTAATGACGTCATCGACATTTTTTTCAAATAGCTATGCCTCATTTCTATTACGGAATATGAAAGAGGACATTTTTCTAAATCTAGTACAGTTAATATTAATATTGGTTCCTCAAGAAAATTTTTGAAAAAAATTGTCTTAAAGTTTCATTATTTTCCATTCAATTGAGATAGAAAAATAGCAGTAGCCATACGTAACCATGGCAACCAACTGTTTCAGATATCAAAAATTAATCATTGTCTTAATAAAATATCTGATACAATCAATTGAATGGAAAATCATGAAACTTTAAGGCAATCCTTCTCGAATATTTTCTTATGTAGCTAATATTAATTTTGGCTGCACCAAATTCAGAAAAAAATCCTCTTTTATATTCCATAATAAAAATGGAGGATTGCTATTTGAAAAAATGGCGATGACGTCATAATTTGTTTAAAAATGGCGGAAAAAGTTTAAATCCTTAGACCCAAAGCACTGTATAATGTCCCTAAACAGCTACACTCACCCAACCAATATGTATAGGTGCTTCTTGACTGCAAAATTCGTAAGTTACACATTAAAATAAAAAACTACTTGAAAGCTGCACTATTATGGGTATTTCACTATAAATTACAGCTAATTTTGTTGATTCCATGCCTTGATTATTAGCTACTAAGGGAGGACCTATCAAATAATAATTTTAGTATGTAAATTTTGACTTGCTTTGATTATTAATGATATAGTATGTATAAGAGTAATATGTAGACTTTTATGAGTTAGAGATACGATTATGTTTTGTGTTCTCCATGATTAATAATAACTTATATAGTTTTTATATAAAATATGGAAATAATAAAGACTTCTTACATCTTTTGTTCAAAAATTTCATTGAATAACATTTTGGTAGCTGAGATATTATTTTCTGGGGTATATGTAGACTTTATTATATCGCTGTAAACTAATTTTAATGGTTTTATTTACGTTTTAACAAATTGTTGAGACTTCATCTTCATTCTAGCAGCATTAATCTTATTATAATCCTTAGGTTCAGGACAATCTCTCAAATTATGATTCTTATTACAATTAAAACAAAGACTAGCGTTGTTGTTCCTTGCAGTATTCATTAATTTCTCTTCAATTTGTACAGAATATTTACTTGTGTATTTAAGCTCCAATCTATCTGCACTCTCTCCCGAAGGAGTTTTGTCAACAATAAACAAATCGGCAGTTTTTGATTTCTTTCTTTTCCTTTTACGACTGTTTTCACCGCTGTGTACATCATTGTCTTTACTGTCATGTCCATTTTTGCTTATTTTTATCTCCAAATCACTACTTACATTTACAAAGCTAAACTCTTTAATAGTTTTTAAAAAATGCAAAAATTTATTTTTATAATTTTCTGCTATCGATGGATTATGGAATTTAATTGTAATTATATGGTGATTTGGGTCTGATTCAATCGAATTACTAACATTATTAATATTTCCATTTATGTTATTATTGCAAACATTTAAATGAACATTTTCTGGACTTTCAAGGTCGTTTGTTAATTTTAAATTTTCTTCTTGTAAAATTACCAAGTTTTCATTATCTGATCTTTTTATATCAACGCTTGCGACGTCGTTTTGAGACAACGTCTCTGTATCGTCTGTTACGTTCTCACTTTTAACCATTTTTGTAGCTGGTTCTGAATTTTCAACCGTCGATGGTTGTAACGTTGATGTTGACACCTCATCTTCGTTTACATCAGATGTGTCGTTCCTTCGTTTTCGCGTGCAATTGTTTACGTCAACCATTTTATTTTTTTAGTTACTTACTAAAAAAATCCACTAGTTACCACTATTACCAATCGACAAAATCTATTTCGGCGCGAAAAATAAAATTTAAATTCAAATCGAATTATATTGTTATAAAACAAGTTTTGAATAAACTTTGTATATGAAAATAAAGTATGTTTTGTTTAAAAGCAATAAGATTAGTAACGTCAATTATGACGTTTTGAAATATAATATGATTGAATATTGATGCAACAAGGTTTTTGAAAGGGTAAAGTGGGTTTTCAATAAAATCGAAATGCCGTTCCTAAAAGCGAGATCCGCTCTCGTCTCGCGGATGGAAAGGTTAGAAAATTCAGCTAGAAAAAATGGATGGAGACATGCTTTTTTTACTCCGTTTAATGATCGCTATATTGGACAATGGAAAAGAGATGTAAAAGAAGGTTAATTTCATATAATTCCACGAAAATAAACTATGTATAGTAAAGTGGTGAAGTAAAACCTCGATATAACGAACCTCGTAGAATTCCTCTATGTTCATAGATAAACTCGGGGTATTCCCCGATTTGTCTTTTTAGTTTTATTTGTTATTCAGCGTTTTTTTCTTTTGAATTATAGGTAAAGGATCCCTTTTGACTCGTAGTGGTCGACTTTATGAAGGCGATTGGGAACGAGGTTACCGTCATGGTTTTGGAGTATTTTCATTTAAAGGTAACGAAGACATCCTTACTCTATTATACAGAGGTGATTGGAAAAATGGAAAAATGTCTGGAGATGGTGAACTACATTATCCTGATGGAAGTTTTTATAAAGGCGCTATGAAAAACAGCAAAAGACATGGATATGGACAAATGTGGTACGCCGACGGATCATTTTTCGATGGCGATTTTTACAAAGATTTACGAGAAGGATTAGGATTATTTGTTTACTCGAACGGAAATAGATACGAAGGGTTTTGGTTACACGACTTAAAACATGGAAAAGGGAGGATATATCATTTAGATAGCGGACAGTTACAAGAAGGTGTTTGGGTAGAGGATTATTGTATATATAGTACAATTGAGGATATTCCATTTAGACAAACTTCTGTTACACCAACACCGTATCCAGTTGATAAAGTAATGGTTAATGTATTTTGTGGTGTTAAAAATATTTTTGTCTGTTTTTCCAGATAAAATTATTACAACCAGATTGCGTATGTACAAGAAGAGAAGCTGAAGTTTTAGAAGGAAACATAAAAATTTGCGATGTTGCTGAACCTTGTTCTGAATCTTACGAAGGTGAATCTACACCGATAATTGATGTTGTAAATTGATCAAAAGCAATTAAATTAGTAGTAGTAATCCAAAATTTACAGAAAATTTCGAATAAATTTAATAAAGAAAGTAATATGTAGTAACTTATTTGTATTTATTTTATTTGCGTAACATTTCAGCTGCTCTTAACACAAATCAAAAATAAAAGCTGAAATGAAATTTTTAAGAAGGGAAGACAAGAATGGATCAAATTAACGAATGGACAAGAATGGTAACTGAAAAAGAAATCAAACAACTGAGTTTTTATGGACACCTAGTCAGAATGTCAGAAGAGAGAATTCGCAGAAGAGTAATGGAAATGGGAATAGTTGGAAAACGACGGAGAGGCAGGCGAAAGATAAAATGGGGATAGACAGGAGGAGATGGTGCACAAGAAAGGAGGAAGTGAAGAATATGGCAAGGAACAGACAGTTTCAGAAGATGGATACAGGATCCAAGTAATACCCCCCAATGCTGTGATGGCATCTAGGGGAAATGATAAAGGAAAAAAAGTTTATCAAATCAGCAAATTTTCCATAAGATGCAGATTATGTCCATGGAGGAAAATCAACTTTAGATCCAACTTTTTAAGTATTTCCGAGGATTATGAAGGATTTTCAAAGAGCGCAAGCAAATAAGCTCATTAACATCAAGCACATAGAAAAAGATAACTGGGTGAAATATTTAGAGAAACTTTACAGGAATGAAGAGACCGAAATAGAACGGAATACACCTCACATAGTAACCAACGATGAGGCCATTATAGAAGACAAAAAGGATATAGAAAGGGCATTCCAAAACCTCAAGAACAGAAAGAGCCCAGGTCAAGACAATATTGGCAATGAGTTACTGAAACATGGAGGAGAGAAGCTAAATCAACAATTAACAACTTTAATTAAAAAATTTTCTCCCAACATAGAATCCTAGAAGAATGGCAAACTAGCATTACGATACTATGATTTAAAAAGTGGAAAAAATACCAGAAATCTATATACAAATAAATTTACTCTTGTCTACCCTAAAGTTAAAGACAAAAATGATAACAAGTAAAATAAATGAATATACTTTATTAGCAACAACAAGGGTTCAGATCAGGAAGATCCAAAACAAAAGGAATGAAAATAATGTGTAGAATAATTGGGAAAACATTGATAGACAGAAAAATAAGTGAAAACATCAGACAGGCTTGCAGAATAGATAACATTAATGATTGGGTATTGGACAGAAAAAAGAAATGGAGTGAGCACATAGACCGAATGACATAAGAACGAATTGTTAAAATAACAATCATACAAAATTTAATTGCCAACTATAGACCCATCTCTATTCTGTCTCTGAACGCCTTATCTATGATTTGCTTATGTTTATTGTCAAATCATCCACAATCCCTGAACAACATGGCTTTTTTCAGGGTAGGTTAGTGGAATCAAATTTAATTTCATTTTCTAATTTTTTATTCAATAGCCTGGATAACAATAGCCAACTTGATAACAATAGATAGTTGATGCTGTATATACTGACTACAGCAAAATCTTTGATAGTGTTGACCATGGCATTGATTCTTTTAAAAAAACCTTCTAACTACATCATCACGGATGGCCTAATTTACTGGATATCATCTTACATCTCGGGTAGATCACAAGCCGTTACTATTAATAATTATCGCTCAACATTCATGTCTCTGAACTTCCGGTGTGGCTCAGGGCAGCCATCTAGAGCCCTTGTTTTTTCTGCTCTACATCAATGATATTCGTACCTATGTAACATCTGTTCTTAACTATGCATCTACCCTTTGGTAGCCCCAGTATCATACATTGATCACCTAGAGCAAGTCCAAAAGTGTTTTCTTGCACAGCTATGCTCAGCGATTTTTGTTATTGCTTGATGATTTTTTTTGTTAAGTTTCATTATTATTAATTTTTTGTTTTAGCAATTATTTATCTTTGTTAAGAATTTCTTGTTTATGTTCTGTATTGTATTTCTTTAGTGAATGCTTCGCTGGGCTTGTCCCGTTTGCATCCCAAATATGATAAATAAATAAACATGGGACAAATCACCATCAGGACGAAAAAGCATTGGAAGATCAACCAATGGGTTGGGAACGATTACCAAACGATTATGGGGCAAAAAAATGTTGAAAAACAGGCAGTTATGCCTAAGTACAGAAGGAAGCAAAAGAATCCATAATAACGACGATAATAGATATATTTGACCTTCTGGGAATAATCACGTAAAATCCTATCTAATTGGGGAGCTAATTTCGCATAGATCATTTATTTAGAAACTTTATTTTAATTTTTTTTTAGTAAAATAAACAGATTGATTATTTTGTATGACTTGTTGAAATGAAGGTTCTTCAATTGAATGGAGTTTTGAGTGCCAAAGAAAACATTGAGTTGAATTTACTTGAATCAAGTTAATGTCTAGTGCCAAACAAAACATCGCAAAATAAGAGATGGAAAATATTCAAATGAGTTTAAAAATATTTGTGACATCAAAATAAGATTCTCTTTTAACATAAAAACTCTCAGCTGTAATTGCCAAGGTTATTTAAAATATTTGTTATTTAATAGGCGAGCGCATAAATGGTTTTGTTTATGCTGGAAAATAAAAAAAAATTAAAATTAAACGTTTTTTAAAACAATATTCTTGATATATATTTTATAGCTTATAAAAAGGTTTATACAATATCAAATATAACATTACTAATTTTAAAAAATCACAGTGTGATTACTCGTTTAAGTATCGCAATTGAAAGTATACAGTCCCAAATCTTAGAGTACATCTTACAAATATTGCTTATACAATATTTAATTTTAATTAAAATTGCAATTTTTTTTTAATAAATAATTTTTTTTTAGATAAACTAATTAATCCCAAAAGTATAACGAGATTCATTAAGTAAAATTTTTAAGACAAAATAATTATTTAGATAAGTATAATAATTATTGTGATGAGGTAATACTGTCAAGCATTTTGTAAAGAAAGTATTAGGTGTTCAAATAAAATCATCATGGCAGCTATATATTCGAAACCAAAATTATTCAACAATCACAATGGTTTAAAAACTGTAGCTACAAAATGTTCTTATTCAAACCCCACACATAAACAAATATGTACTTTTTAAAAACTTAAATAAACAAGTTTAAAAAGATTTTAACATAACTCTTATTATAAATCTTAAACAATATGTATACCAGATGGAATATTATCACCGACCCCATTTATTCTATGTTCAGCATCACCTTGTTCAATTTGCTCCTTTAACAATTCCAATTCCCTTATCCCCGTCATCGTCATTTCGTATTTATGCGCAACTAACTGTCTATAAAAATGAATAGCAAAAGCAAGAAACACGAATAATACCGGAATAAGTATCACTGTTGCTGACCAAGCAGCTGTTGTATCAATAGTTATAAATTTGACCCAACACAATATAGCAATTTCCGCTAGAAATAAAATTAACCCCAACAACGTTGAAAATGCCCACGCTACTTCGATGTACCAATGTAGTCTTTCGTGGGGTGATTCGTCCACTAAATGAATAGTGTCCAAACTACAAACTGCTTCGATGTTCGGTAAGATACATGTGCTGATCATTAATGCTAACATATGCACGGCTACAAGGAGTGTTGTGATAATCGCGAATGCAATTAACATGGGCCTAGAGATGTTAGGGATATCGTCTTTGTTGATTTGAAGTTCGACCATCGCCACCATGGCGAAACCGGAAAGGAGAGCGGATGTTTTGCTGGATGCTTTTAGTTTCGCTCGACTCAAATGAAGTTTTCGCCATGATAAATAGCGGGGTGTGTAAAGTTCGTCGCCTGATTGTGACATGTTACACTGAAAGTTAAAATAAAATAACATTAGTAATTCAATAATTTAGTTAATAGTATAAATTTGCCTTGTTATCAAAAAAACAACCTAAAATTAAACAGTATAATGTAAAGCAGTTGATTACGTAATTTATAAAACATGTTGGAAGAGATAATCTGCGGTTTTGTTAGTGTTTTTATCGTATTTATAGTTATTTTATCAAACCACTTTGAAAGTAATAAATTAAAAGTGTTTTACAGAACGTTCAATATTGCCATAAGTTGTGCCAAATATCACCCATATGTTCACTTTAGAAAACAAACACATTTGTATTTCGGGATTATAATTTAACCAAAAATAGGAAGTCAATAACCCCATAAAACATGATCATTTATTTATAAATTTATAATTGTGTTTATAAAAATAGAATTTTTGAGTTTACTAAAAATTACATAACTAGACTAAAGAGATTTTATTTTGTAATATATTCACATACAAAGAAGCATCAGTAACTAAAAATATTTTTATGCCAAAATATATTGCGAAAATTAAAATTGTTTGAAATTGGTTTAGTGTTGCCAAGTTTGAACATGAACACTTAAAAAATCAGCAACCTAAATTAAGTCTTATTTTAATTTCTTCTTACTTTGGAGAAAACCTATATTTGAGAGTGAGGCTGCTCTCAGAAGTGATTCCTCTAAACTACATAAAAAAATTCGCTCAACGTCAAAAAACCACATCATACGTTTATCATAGAGAGCATATAGACATCATCTATACCACATCATAGAGAAGAGAACAAGCAGACCAATCAAAACTTCAAATGTACAAAAAATGTAGTCTCAGTTTCTACAAAAAAATAAAAAGTGAAGAGGATTGTATAAAGTGGACTAGAAAAAAAGTTGGTCTAGTAACAGATTTGGTGGAAGTGAAGACAATTTCTGGTAGTTCCAAAAAACTCGCTTATTGATCCAGGATCCCAAGAATTTACTCGCTCATGGAAGACAAAAAACACCAAAATATCTAGGCTGGAAGACGGGTCCCCAAAGATATCTAAAAGCAAATGTATAATCTACTAATAATGGTGGCGGAGTTCAGAGTCGAGTTCTTTTACAGATGACATCCTATGACCCTGACTGAAGACAAATTTAAGGTAAAACAAAACATGGAATTCTTCTAAGAAGTACCAGAGACCATAGTCAAAGAGTCAGAGTCACTCAAAAATTGGATTTAAGTCTGTAACGATTTTAGTTACTGAAAGTATGAAATATTTGGAAGCAGAAAAAACGAAGATAATACAATAATTATTGTATTATCATTAGAGAGTATTTTAACTCCAATTTCCTCCATATGTTTTTCTCTAAGTATTTATCTCCTTCATTCTCCTTTCTTGTCTAATACTACTCAAAGCTTCCATACTTTTTCATCAATTTCTAATCTAACAATTTTGTCATATTAAATTTTTTCTGATGTTTTTCCATATATTCTTCCACTCTTTGCCTTTTCTGGTAATGTATCTTAAATTGTTACTAGTAATTTAGTATTCAAATTCATATTAAACAACAATTCAGGAGGAGAAATGCTCATTGATTTCATGAGTAAATTATAGTGAATAAATAATATTAACTTAAGTTGATTCCATTTGCATTACTTTTTCTAGAAACCAAAGTTTTTTGTGCTAAACCATTCGATTAAGAATGATTTGGACTAGGTTTAATTTTAAATTTCCACAAATCAGCAAAATTTCTACATTTCTCACTGTTGAACCTTCCTTTTGTATTCTCAATAAATCCATTAAATTCTTAAGAATTAAAATCTTAGAATTACATTTTACTTATATTACCTCTTTCTTTTTTTGAAGAACAATTAAATTGAGGCAATTTCTCAAACCACCTGTATAATAAATAACAACATAACCTCCTTTTTAAATGACAACAAAGTATTTTAAGGTTATGTCACTGACATTTGAAATATGTGATAAATTTTATGATAAGAGTAACATTTTAAGAAAAATGCTTTAAATTGAAATAAGTTAACAGTACATAACATGATACTTTGAGAAAATTACATATTAGGACTATCAAGAATTAGAAAAAAATTATTTTTAGGTTATCTCAAATGTCACAGTGACATTTAAAGGAAAATTAATTTTGTATTTATAGGATAAAATATTTGAGTATTAAATATAATTTTATGAAAATAACATAATAAGGAAACGAATGGAATAACATACATAACATAACAGTTTTTTTTTTATTTGTCAATGTTTTAGTAAGTTAGTTTATAAGCCGTCAAATAATTATACAGATATTATTAATTTACCTTTTTGTGATTTCTGTAAAACAGGTTTGTTGTACTACAAGTATTATGTGTTGTTTTAACCAAATTGCCTATGTCTAGGCCAATCGAGCCTGTGCTCCACACTGACATTGGTTGTCTCGTACCTAAAACACAACAAAATAAAATATTAATTAACAAAAAGGAATGCAAAAAAAATAACTAACATATTCCATTAAAAAAAATAGATAAAAGTTCAATGAAAAATGTACAAACACACGTGCCGAATTTATCAAGCCAATCATATAAATAAATTTAGCGAGAATAAATACGCGTTGTTACAGCAGCAATTTTATAATAGAAATTGACTGACACGCAATTACAAGATGATTTCATTGACCACGACCGACGTCCTCAAAAAGAAAACGAATGAATACGCGAACAGAAATAGTTTAAGCTTACCATTTTAATGTAGTGTTTAATAAGCGCGTGTTGAAAGATAACTCGATAAAACAAATGTTTATATAGAGCACATAAATAGAGCGGCGCAACCACTTGCTCGGAAAAGGAACGTAATGTTTTGGAGTTGACACGGTGAAGTTCGCTAAAATAATAAAAGTAGGAGAGCTGATCGGGTGTTTTCGACAACAGAACCGCGTGCCCGACGCGTTTGAAAATGTGTAGGTATTTTGAATTTTATTGCGGAAAGAAAAATAACTTTAAAGTAGTATAGACCGACAACACAGCTAGTTCTTCCAAGAACTAATAATTAACACTCACCGAGTAATTAAATAGATTTGTGTGACGTAAATTTATGTTTACATTTAAGATATAAGAAATAATTGGTTACAGGTTTAATTGAAAGGATTTAAGTTTGGCTGTTTAAAATTTTTAAAATAAGAATGTTTGCCAATTTGTAAATTGCGGTTTTGGCAACATTTACAAAAATACTAATACACGAAAGTGTTATGGAATGTTCGGTGCTATTTAATTTGTTTGTTTCTTTATGGTATAAATATCCGGTTAAAACATTTTTTTAGTTTTCCTTTTATTTTAAGTTTGTTTTTAAATTTATTGATATTTTTTAAATAGGTGTACTGAAATATCTTGAAAGATATGGTTATGATAATTTATACAGTGTTGGTCTTCTTGTAGTTTTATCATTATCTTTAACAAATTGTAAGATAGAAATGGCTTTTTTGAACAAATCTTTTCAATTTGAGCTTTTTGAAAATTTTCAAAATAACCTCCTGTATCTAGTAGTGGATAAATTCTCTGTTTTTGAACTTTTAATTTAATTTAAATTCAATGAGACAATACTGTTTAGTTCGAGGTATGGATATTAAATAGAAGAATCCAACAAATTTCGCCAAAAAAATACATAATCTGTTTGGATTATTGTGGATTGAAAAGTTGAAAAATGAAAAGAAATATACAAATCTATTCTATAATAGTTATTTCAATGAAATTCGCCGCGTAGAACAGAACCATTTTCGATGTTTCGTGATTATCTGTAAAAAGAATGTTGTTAAAAATGCGATTTACGAAAGAAAAGTCACGTGAACTCGAATATTTGTTTAAAGAATCTATTGGTCAACTAATTAAACATGAATTATTATTTTCTGAAATTGTTAATGTGATTAAAATACGATTTACTGCTGCTATTGAGGATCTTATAAACAAGAATGATGCAAAATTAGCGATCAAGTCAACAACATTTAAGCCTTCTGAGTGGAAATCGTTCATTCTTTAGAACATATTGGTGTTGGAATTTATATTACACATTGTCATGACTACTGCGCAGAAATTGTTGTTAATGTAGAAGATGAATGTGCAAAATGAAAAAATGTTGCAAATTTTATGGCATGCTGTTCCAGGCTTACCCTACTCTTGACCATTTTGTTGTTGTGGTTACCCTGCCAAGGTTGCTTTTATAGCTGCTTTTCACTTATTTGATTTTTGTGCCCCTATTGTTACTCGGGTTGTGAAGAAAAATTCATCACTTTGGATAACCCAACCCAACCTAACCCAACTCCACCCAACCCAACCCAACCTAACCTAACCCAACTCCACCCAACCCAACACTTGAACTAAGCTAAGTATTTGTCAGTCGAAAATAAGATTTAGTTCTTTGCAGAATTTTCCTTTTACATGAGTCTGGAAAATATTATTTTTTAATAAAGGGCAGATAATTAAGATTCCTTGTAAAAAGCTGTTCGAAATCATGGAGAGGTACTCAAAAACAGAAAACAAAAACTTGATCCACCAGTATACCATATGTCCTCCATGGAATGAGTTACGATGGGATATCGACGACACAAGAAAGCTATTCTTACACCAATAAGGACACCGCCATCATCAGATTTGCTGAACACCAAGATCGTGGAAACAGGGACTGCGAACTATAAAATAAACTAATTAACATCTCCAACTGATTCTATGACAACTGGTTCTAAGTTAGTTCTGACAGGTGGTTTTAAGAAAACACATGATTGATGAGGTAACGAAATGTCACGATTTTTCTATATCGGCTGAAGAAACATCAGGAAAAGCATTGACAAAAACTATACGATCAGAGAAAAATGTCAAAGATTTTAACAATTAGAAAAGATTGACAGCGGAATGATAACCGTCGCTATCGTAAATGCACAATCTAATTTACGATTATGCGTCAATTTCGGGGATCTTGGGTGTGTACCATATTTAGATTCTATTACATCTTCAATGCCAAACCCATTTGAAGAAAATTACACTCTAGCATACGATTTGAACTTGCTAGATCCGAATTCTTTTTCACCCGCGAATCCTGCATGTTTAATAATTAAATTACAATCTTTGTAATGTTGTTACAAGAACGGTAACTTGAATAATTCTCATAACTTATAAAAACAATTAGAAAGCTACAATGTGTTAAGTCAAGATCAGTCAAGTGACTAGATTGCTCAGCATTGTCCAAGGTACTTTATTATTAATTTGGATTTGGGAAACTATCTTAATAAACTAGTTTATTGTTATCAAAGTTGACTTACATTAGAATTAATAGTTTTGGAATTATCTTGTGGTTATAGGAGTCAGTCAGTCAGAATGGTTTCATGTCGTTTTACGCAACAGCTGCCTCTAGTGTATCAAAAGGGTCCATTCGGGGTCTGATACTTTTTGCAATCTTTACTTGAAATCTGTTTTTGGACATAAGTATTCTATCATTTATAAGACGGTGAGATGTAACGACTATGTGCTCGCCTGATGAAAATAATATATAAAATAGAAAATTGATGAGAAGCATTTTTTTGCCAGCATTAAGGGTTCTCTGCTTGCAATGCAACTTATCTCTCTGGATTGTATTCTATATGATAGAGAAATATATAGCAGTATAGGTAAAGCTATTTAAACCAGGTCTTGTTAAAATGGATTTTGGATACAACCTATAATAAATATGTTATTTTGTCAATATTAAAGCATATCCCAAAAGAAGTTGAAGAATATCTAAAATTCATTTAGTACCTCATCCCTCCTTTTTGATATACCTATACATTAGTCACTCTCTTTGTTTAAATCTAAATGTCTCTTAAGCATAATAAATGTTCAGGGAATTCCCCATCTTGCTTTATTTGAAGTGAATGGGTTTATTTATACAATTAATTTTATGGAAATGATGACAATTAGAGAGTAAAACGTACACGAATTAATGAATGTGAGTTAAGTATCATACGCATATCCTGACTAAAAGATAAATGATGCAGAAGAAATGAAACATTGAAAATGAAGGAGAAAAACGTTAAATATGTAAATTAGTATTTCAAATTCTTAATATTCGATTAGATTTTCTCAAAATATCATACCCACATTCACAATAACATTCTATTAATACCTCGTTACAATTAGTGATTATGTTTGAAAGAAACAATTCAAATCGAATTTTTAATCTCTATTCACTTCATTAACACAAAGTAATAAATAGAGTAATAAAAAATGATTACTCATAAAGCCTTTGTATTATTTTTATAGAGATATTATCATGAGCTTGAAATTTAATATTATCATACCTTTCCGTATAAACATTTTAAAGAAGTCTTCGCAAGAAACTTAAAAACGTGACTGATGAACTAATATAACGATCATCACTGTTTTAATTCTGATTAACAACTGCCGAAAGAAAAGCAAAAAAATTGTGACGTCCATTGAGGGTCCGATTTGTTATTAGACCGCATAAAAAGTTCACAATTACGATTTAATTGGACGTTTTAGCCGGACGTTGAATTTTATACACGCCATACCACGATTATAATGAAATCGTGTTTTCTAGTAGCTTTGTTAGTGTAATAAATACTTACTTTTCTTTGATTATTCCAATAGAATAAAAGTTTGAAAATTGGGGCGCCTGGTTTTTCGTTTAAATGCAGAACGCGTAACCCGCACTTTATACAACTTCCAGTCGATTTCGACGTCCCACGTCCGTTCGTTTACTTGCTGCATTTTCCTACCATTCCTTGTTTTCCCCACCCGTTTTACAAACCGTTAATACCGTGTAAATATTTTCGTACCGGTAACTCGAGATGTATTTGTTCGATTAGAACTTGGACACATTCCTTTTAGGAAAGTTATTTTAGCTTTAATGCAGTCAACATTCTGTTTTGCTTACAAGCTTATAACATGTTAATGATTTAAATTATTTGTGTTTTAAAATAATACGAAAAAAATTAAACGTTATAAAAAGTAATAAAAGAAATAATTTCAATTGATATAGTTGTTTATTATTAAGTAATAACTATAATATTAAAAAATTTAAAGTTATAGTTTGCGCAACAACCTAATTCTTTTATGTGTGTATTGGGCTGCCTAACATTAGAAATTTGAAAAGAAAAATCAGATACAAACCAACACTGCATTGAACGCGCATTTCATTTATGATGTACTTTATCTGTGATTGCAATTTTTCAGTTCCAGTCAAGTAAACAGTTGCTGTCCTCCTAGATAAAACAGATTTGACCCAATTCTCGTATGTATTTTATTATCATCGGCGTGGAATAAAAATTTACAAAACTTGAAACAAGAAGACAGTTACAAATATATCACATCCGGCTTAGAGCAATCTTGGACCGTACAATCGAATCAATCTGACTCCTGTTCAATAGATATGTCATAATTAAAAGCACAATGCCATCTGGAATACTACACAAAAATGATATGATATGAGGTTTGTTAAAAGTTTTAGATAAGTCGGTGTAAATGGCGCCAACCTAAGAGTTTTCGTTTAAATCAGAACGAATCACATTTGCATAGGTAACCAGATTGGACTCATTGCACTAATTAGTAACATTGCAAAAGTTTTTGAGAAGCTTGTCCTGAAAATACTAAAAGATTACGTTACCAAGAACCAAATACTTAACCAGTCCCAAAACGGTTATATAAAAGGCAGATTTGTAACCAGAGCAATTTTTCAGTTATTAGAACGAATTCAAACTGGAATGAATAACAACGATCTTATCAGTTGTATAATGATGGAGCTAACTAAAGCATTTGACATCATATTGCCATGACATGTTATTGAAGAAGTTGGAAGCTATAGGGATACGAGGACTTCCGTTGGAGTTGTTAAGATCTTGTCAGAAAGAGAACAGCGGGTGGTCTCATATGATCAAACTGGTGCTGAAGTTACTTCAGATTGAACAAAAGTTCTGCGAGGTTCAAGCTCAATCTAGGCAAACTGCAAACTTGGTTTTCAAATAACAAGTTACAACTAAACTTACAAAAAACAAACGTTATAACAATATATCAACGATCTTACCATGAAGATAAATAAATCGTGTTACGCGCTATGGACTTAAAAATAAAACCGGCTATCTGTTTCAAAAAATATCTTAAGAGATGTTTGTTAAATAAAAACTTATATTCGATAAACGATTTCTTTTTGGGGAAAAATTGTGAAATCTTTGCAAAACATACAATGTATCTTTTTTTTAGTGACGTTTTGTCTGAACTGGACATTTATGGAAACAAATATTGTTATTATATTTAGGACACATAACAAGAGGTGAGCTTGAGATTGTAGAAAGTAAAATAGCACGGAGTAGATCTGTAGGGAGACGTCAAAATGCATGGCTAAAAGATCTTGGCCGATGGTTTGGTCGCACCTTACTAGAATTGTTCCAAGCAGTAACAACAAAAGTCATAATTAGATCGCCAAACCTTTCTCAGGAGATGGCACAATAAGAAGAAAACTGTAGATTTGTACCATTTTCATTTGACATCCACTGTACAAACAATACTATAATTCTAAGCAGAAAAACGTTTTTTGAGTTGCCTATCATCGAAATTCGTTTGCATAACATTGAAAAAAAAATTTAATTCTGTTTTACAACCATCGCAAATTTAAGATATTAAATCAGCATTAAGACATGTTTAAAAGAAAATTTTATAGTTATAATTTTTTATCAACACATCAATGTATTAATATTATTTAATAACTTTTATCGAAACGGAAAGTAATTTTACATCATTCCGTATAATTTTTATCTCATTTTTGTGTCGACCTTGAAAACTAACTTTTTAATATTAATTCGGGTTTCCGTTTCATTTCCCCACTACCTAATTTTAAATCCTACCTTTTTACCACACCATTCAAAAAATGCGTCAACTCATACCTATACCTTTTGGAACGAAAGTTTTCCTCACTCATTGAAGTCCACATCGTGTAGCACGCTCAACGTTCTTGTCGAGTTTGTTTCATTTCGTCGAAGATAGTGTTTCATTTTATTTCGTTTGTGTTCAAACATTTCTTAAGAAAATAAGAAGAATGGCCAGCAAACTCAGTTTAGATGATGATCAAATGTTTGCTTTAATGAAGGTATTAATTTATTTATATTAAATTTTTATTGATAAACCACTATTGTTAGTAATTATCACGCAAGAAATGCTTTTACTTTTCCCTTTTTCTTTTACTTTACTATTTTTTTAATCTTTTTTATCATGTTGAAAGTGAAATTTTGTTGTTCAGGTTTAGGATTTTTGTGTTTTATTTATTTCTTTTTGGTAAAAGGAGAAATAATTTTACATAATTTAAGACGACTTTTAAATTTGCAAATTAGTTGCTTCTATTATATTATTATCAAAATAAAAAAATAAGGAATAATAAATTAAAAAATAAGTGGTGTTGATTATCCTTCGATTATATTTTTAGTATTGCATTTGAATTGCAAATAATTTAGATAAATACTACAATAATTTAGTTTTTATTCGTAGGATTCACGTGAAGTTTATGCATTAAAAAAATAATCGATAAACAATTATACACTCAGAAAAATTTTATAATTAGCTCAATTGAATTTTTCATGCTAATTAAATCAATTCAGTTTTTAACAACAGCGTAATTTAATCGTCATCCTCTTCTGAACTTTCTGGTTTTTCCCCTCTAGTTACCAAATGATACGTTTCAGCTTCCAAAGCTAATCTCCTAATATTACCTAAACACCCAGCTGATGCTTCTTGTAAAGTTTGATCTTCCGATGAAACCGTTTTTAATAAAAACGGCACGACTCCACTTTCATGCATCGTTATACAATTAAACGAATTTTTCGATAAATGAAATAAAGCCAAAGCGGTAGTTCTTTGTACATTACTATTATTCGAAGCCATGTAACCAACCAACGGAGTTATAGCACCTAATCTTCCAAACATTTTGCAATTTGATCTCCATGAGCAACAATACGCGATTGCGGATGCGAGGTGTTCTCTTAATTCAACGTGCTCGCTATGAACTAAATTCACCAACATTGGTACAACACCATGATCTGTAATGATGCCTAAATTTTCTCTATCTTGAGCTATTTCAGCTAATGCGGCGCAAACACACGCCAAGACATGAGCATCTGGTGATTTTAAAAGGTTCACAATTAATTCTAAACCCCCTACGAAACATCGAACCATTTCTCCGGAATCCCTTGCGTGTTTTACACACGGTACTAATGACCATGCTGCATTTGCTTGAACCTTCAAAAATAAAGAGTGCATTTGAAAAGGATTTATCTATTAGTGAGGAATCTATAAAGAACGTAAAAGTTACCCAAAAACAGAGTGATTCAGTTAAATGGGTTAAAGATTAATTGGACTAATTCCAAAATGATTACACAAATTGTTGAATTTTTTATGAAATTGCGTAATAAATGTTGAATGAAATCGAATTAATTGCTTCATCATTTCTGCACAATTTCTGAAACTGTCCATTATTGTTACATAGCATTTATAATATCTTGTCGTCTTCGAAACCATTGATTTGCTCTAAGTATTAGTTTTGCGATATTGTGGAGAATGTTTTAACATCATGTTACATTTGTTTCAGCAAGAAAAATCTTTGCTACGAACTTACAGATTGAATACGACAGAACATATAGACTCAGAAAGATTACTGCCAATTCTGACCTTACTTGATACTAAATTTTTTTTGTCCAATTTGTTCTAGAAATGAAATTATATAACATAAACACCCAACATACCCATTTTACCAGTTTTTCTTTAATATATCAGTAACTCAACAAAGTATCTAGTCCAGAAGACTTGTTGGTTTTTCAGTCCTATTCTGTTTTGTTCTGCTAAGGTGATTCAAACTGATCATTCCCCCTCTTAGCAACTTATCCAGATCTTTGATTTATGGCATAGAAATTTTCTGACGACCAAGGCATTAATTAAAATGTGGAAAAGGTATAAAATAACATTATAAAAATTTCCACAAAATCATTTTTAACATTTGTGAAAAGCATTTAACCAAATCACTCTTTTAGTTATTTATTTAACTGACTGACGTGTTTGAATGATTAAAATTGTTTGTAACGGATGACTGGAATGTTTTTAGAGGCAAAAATTAAAAGATGATTTATTCTTAAACAAAAGTTAGGAAAACAAGGTTAATAAAAAACAGGTAGAGAGGACGAGACGTATATAGCAGGGCCACGATCGTGACAGTGACATACTTTCGACGTTCAATTACTTAATGTGTTGTTCAATTTTAAACAATTTAAAATGTCCAACGTGTTTATGTAAAAGTTGAAGGCATTGAATTTTTATAAGAAAGGAGTAATAAATAAAAATGTATGACAACTAAATTTTTGTACATTATTTTTGAAATTTTACTTACAGAAGTAGATTCGTTTTTTAATAATGACCAAATCAATCTAACTCCATCTAATTCTTCGATAACCCTCATCGAGTCAAAATCTTTAGCGCATTCTCTTAATACCATTGGTACGTTTTCCAATAAAGGAGTGTAAGTGTAATTCAGTAAATTTACTAAATACGGAATTCCACCCGCTCTTTTTAAAACCTCTCGATTATGTTCGAATTTTAAACATTCAGATAAAGCACCAACAACGTTGCTTAAAACTTCTTCGGTTTCGTCTGGATTTGCTAACAATTGAACCAAAGCCTTTTTAAAAAAATTTATTCGATTACAAAAAGAAGCTGTAAATAAATATCAAAATTGGAACGAAAAGTACATCAACTGTTTTTATTTGATCAAATCTTTCAACATTTTCTGGAGTTATTGCCGTTTTCCAAATAGCACCAGTGGCAGCAGCTAGAAGGGGTTTATCAGGGCGACAGTTTGGATCTTTTATTATTACTACCAAAGGATCTAATCCGCCGAAATGTCGCACTGAATCTCTTGTTACTGGTGATTCAGCACATCTAAAAATTGTTGCTGCACATTGTTGTCTTAATTGGGGATAATCCTAAAAAAATCTTTGATACAAAAAAGTAAGCTATAAATTAACAATTAACCAATTTACTACAACTTAATTTGATTATTTTAATCGAATGTTAACACTATGGCAGATAAAAAGTATTAGATGGTAATTGAGTTTTTGTGTTCGTCGAATAATTGGAAACAATGCTCATGATAAATACCTACAATAATTAAGAAACTTGAAACTTACAACAGCTGATAAGTGTTTTACAATGTCTTTTATCATTCCTTCGGTTTCAATTGCAAGTTGATAACTTTCTTCACTTGCACATTGTGCTATTGTACCAACGGTTGGTATCACAACATTCATATGTATTGATCTGTGAAAGAAAAATATTTGAGATAACGAAATTTAATGGAAAATCATTTTTTGGGCAACACAGCAATATAATGATATACGACTTAATCTACCGATTTTCAAAACTTCAATAATAATTGAAGAATCATGGAATACATTTCATATTTTCCTATTTTTCTCGATATTTGTGCATCTAAGAGCAAAAGTGCAAGAGAGCAATATTATTAAGAATAAAATTTGCTATAACTGTGCAAAATTTTTTTTGTTATATGCTTCAATTCCCGTGTGTTACCATTAATAATTTGAAAACGCAATATATTCGTCAAATTTTCATAGTTTTCTCAATATTGGTGCATCTAATAGCAAAAGTGGAAGAGAACAATATTGTTAATAATAAAATTTGTTACAACTTTTATTCTAAAAGTTTCTTTGTAATATGAGATTGACATCAACACAATTTAAAAAACGTAACAGGTTCAATTCAAAGCCGATTAAGTATTATATGGTACATATAAGAATTTGTTCTACTTTTTCTTAAAAGAATAACTACGATTTTTGTCAATCATCACATCGAGGTCATTTAAGTTTACTCACAAGGAGACATCGCAGTTGACTCTTCACCAATTTTGATGAATTTTTTTATGGTGAATCTATATTGAATATAAGTAAGTTCCCCCAGAGCTTTTGATCGAATGGCCCTTCTAAAGGGAGTTATTAATTTTTTAAAGTTACGATTTTTGAGAGTTGTTGTTATAAGCTATAAAGCGAAGCCATCTTCCGTATATGTACGTAGTGCAGTGAATGAATGCCGCGCTCCTGTGCAGGAAGCCCAAGATCGGGATCGGATGTTTCAATTTTTTTTTTGTTTTAATTATTTGTTGTAATACTCCTAATCTATTGTTTTATTTATATTAATATATACGTAATTATATTTATATATAATTGTAATTTTTTAATTACTTTATTATCACTATTTGGAATTTTTTAATAATTCCTTTTAATAAAACCTTATAACACGTGTTTTCTGTTTCAAAGGATATAACAGGACGTAAACTTGTCCTGCGTTTTTTTTTGTTAGGAAATGCGAATAAGATCAGGTTATTGACGTATTTTCAATAGTTTAATTCTTTACGCCTTATCGGTTAGTGATTATTAAACAGCGATTTTTGGATAGTGATTATTAGATAACGATTATTGAATAGTGATTTTTGGACAACGATTTATTGGATACTGATTATTGAGCAGCGATTTTGGATAACGATTATTAGATATTGATTTTTGGATTATTTTCTTGGATAATATGGATACAGTATCAATTGAAAAGCAACCGTCAACAATTGTTGAACAGGAAGTCTCAAGTTTCATGCAATTATACGACAAACAGGATATTACAGACGGTATGCACGTTTGTTTCCAAATATTAAAAAAAATGAAAATTTTAAATGACGCGGCAAGTGAAGCAATGTCGCCGAAGGCATCTATTTTAGGGGAGAAGTTTGCCCAATGTATTGTAAAAACTTTGGAAGAAAACTGTTTTACAGAAGAAGATGAGTTATTTTTGCCGGACGAAGAAGTTCCATTAACAAATGCTGTAGTAGAATCGCAAGATAGCACCTCCTCTTCCATATTTTCGGATACAGCCACTTCGCAAAGTAGTGAAGAAGAATACACCCCAATGGAAACCTCTAGGACAAAACATTTTGTTCCAATTGACACAAAAATTAAAATATTAAAAATGGTACGAGACCATCCAAATTGGTCTTTACGTACAATTCAACAAAAAGGAGGGACTGCGCTTAAGAATAAAACCGATCTAAAAAAGTGGCAACAGCAAATCGAACAAGGTGGTGGTAAAAAAGAAAAATATTTTATGATTAATAAGTGGACCTACGACCGCTTTGTAGAAGCGAGGGATTTAATGCATCCAGTATCCACAAGAATACTGCAGCAATGGGCAACTCAAGCTGCTACACAGTTTCAAGGGCCGCACTTTAAATTTACAGCATCGCCTACTTGGGTGACGAAGTTTAAGACGACCCATTCTATTCGTCAACGAAAAGTAACATGTTACCTAAAGTGTACAAAAGCACTGGATTTGCCGACAATATGGAAAGAAGCTGAAAAATTTCAGAAGCGTGTAGCAAATATAATTAAAAGTTTCTCCCCTGATTTTGTTATCAACACGGACCAAACAGGTTGTGAGTATCGTGTTGATGTGAGAAGAACCTTGGCGACAAAAGGGCAAAAGATGGTGGATGTTTTTCTGGGTGACTTTAATAAAGTCACACACAGTTACACGGCACAGTACGCATTAACTGCATCCGGAAAACTTCTGCCAAAAGTTTTTCTGTGCATGCAAGAGCCAAAAGGGGTGTTTGGTCCACGTGTTTCTGCTAACGTTGAAGAATTGTGTAACAACTACGGAAATATATTTGTTACCGCGTCCAAATCTGGAAAATTAACAAAAGAACATTTCACCAGTTTTGTTAAAAATGTAGTTACACAATACTGTAAGCAGAACAGATTTTTAATAATTCTAGACTCGTGGGGTGGTCAAACAGATACTGCACACTTTAACAGTATATTTACGGATGACGATGGAAATTGCAGTTCAACACTTGAAATTATTCCACCCCACTGCACCCCTTATTGTCAACCGTGTGACGTGTACTTTTTCCGCCAAGTTAAAAATTTCATCAAAAAAATTCAAAATTGTGTTGAAGTATTGGAAAACAACCTCCAGTTGTCTACAAGAGAAGATGCCATAAAAATTCATTCTTTGATTCATCACCAGCTATCCGCTCCTGTTTTCCAGCCGATGATTCAATACGCGTGGTATGCATCAA